CACTCTATGATTGTAGTTCTTTAAAGTTATTCCATTATGTTAAAATGATATCAGCACCATTCCGCTGACACAAATTAATTTCATATGAGTAGTGTGACTTCACCTGTGCATGCGCAAAGTTAGCATATAGACCGGGATCAGCACAACAGCGCCATAAGGGCATGAAAACGACATTTGAAACCAGGGTACCCTGGTCCTCAGACAACCAGAGAGACCCAGGCAGCTCCACAAAACATCCAGATAAGGAGAAATGCCCCAAAAGTTGTCAAAGAATGCTCAGACTGGTAAAACCATAGGTTCTCTGCTCTCCCCAGGTAAGAAAAACAAACAATCGCCATAGACAAACACAAAGATAAAGCACCGCGCTTACAGCAGCAGTAGCATAGTATCCAACAGCTTAAAATACAAAGTAAAAACAATGAGAATGTTACCTGCGCTCTGGCCTAAATCCCCATGTACATTTAAACACAATGGAGGCTCTTTAGTTTTATACCAATGGCCATTTGAATATATAAGCTCACCTGCCACGTCAAGGCAAGCCCCAATAGGTGAGTCCTACACTAGCCATTAGATATGCTGATATCAGCCAAGAATCTCCAGAAAGACAGGAAGGGGTATTTTATAAACCCTTTCACATTTAACCCTTTATAGGGCTTCTACACATACAATAAACTTTGCTGGTATCAGACAAAGTGTGAACATCTCTAATGAGACATGAAGAGGTGTTTTATAAACCCCTACATACTTAACCCTGAATAGGGCTATAACACATACAAATCACCTTGCTGATATCAGCTAAAAGGCAAATTTCTCTGATGAGACAGGAAGGGGTGCTGCCCCTACATACTTATAAAGTCTTAATAAGACAAACGTGGGGCGGCTGGCAGCAATGTAACATAATCGCCATAGACATAAGAAATGGAATAGAAGACAAGCTTTACAGAGTGCATCACTGCAGCTTGCTACCCCTAGGATCCCAGGGGGTCAGATTGGGGCATGCAAAAATATATATTTTATATCCTGATTTTAGGTACCATATTTATGTATCACTTTTGTCAAATAAATGCTACATTGTTATTTAGAAGAAAACTATAATAATGAAATGGTTAACTTTGGCCCAATTTACAATTTTTTATCTGCGACATCATTTTCTCTAGGTTTATATTTTTCCTTCTGAAATAACCAACATTGTAGTTAAATCTGTTGGTTGCACCTGTATTGTTATTTGTTCTTATTCTGACAATGAATATTAGACAGAAAGAAAAGCTAAATAGTGCATTGTGCTGACTCTTGAATGAATCTGCATTTATTGTGTGTAGTCTGACTCAGGGCCGGACTGGGAAAAAAATTCAGCCCGGGCATTTTTTTATCACAGCGGCCCACTAAGAAGGGGGCGGGGCAGAGAGGGTGTGTTTTGTCATCACTCATGACAAACACGCCCCCTCTCAAAGTGAGCATGTTGGTTCAATGCTCTTCCAGGGCAGACCATGCGCAGAGCTCTGCTGAAGAGCTCTAGCATGAGAAAAAAGCCCTGTATTTGTTCTGCACAGTGCAAGCAAATTTAATAACATGCTTGCACTGTTTCCTTGCAACTTGTCTCTGGTGTCTCTATAAATGGATACCAGGAGACAAAAGGGCCAGGAAAGAGTATTGTGCATGTGTTTGGAGCCTGTTTGTGGTATTACGTTTGTGCAGAGTGAGCTGGTCATGGTGTGGTATTGTGTAATAAGGTCTGTTTTAGTCGTGTTGTGTTTGTGGTGTAATGTAATGCATATGTGGCTAGGGGCTGTAGAGAATGTGTGTATAGGGGATGTAGCAAGTGTGTGCATACAGGCTATAGTGTGTGTGTGTATAGGTGATTTAGTGTTTGTAGAGAGTGTGTGTTCAGGGAATGTAGTATGTGTTTGCTTACAAGGAATCTAGTGTGCATATAGGGGATCCAGAGTGTGTGTGTGTATATGATCCAGAGTTGGCTAAAGGATCTAGTGTGTGTCTGGAATGTAATGTGTTTAGGGGTGCAGTGTGTGTGTGAGGGGTGTTGTGTGTATGTGTATATATATATATATATATATATATATATATATATAGTTTATATAAATATGTTTGGAAGTATTGTGTATGTGTGTGATGCAGTGTATTGGGGGGTTGTGTGTGTATGTGAGGGGTGCAGTATGTGTGTGTGAGGTGTGATGTGTGTGAGGGTGCTGTGTGTGAGGGTGCTGTGTATGATGTGTGTGAGAGTGTTGTGTGAGTGCTGAGTGTGATAGTGCTGTGTATGAGTGTTGAATGTGATAGTGCTGTGTATGATGTGTGTGAGTGCTGAGTGTGATGTGTGTGAGAGTGATGTGCCTGAGTGCTGTGTGTGAGAGTGTTGTGTGATGTGTGTGAGAGTGCTGAGTGTGAAAGTGCTGTGTGTGAAAGTGCTATGATGTGTGTGAGAGTGCTGCGATGTGTGAGATTGCTGTGTATGATGTGTGTGAGAGTGCTGTGTGTGAGAGTGCTATGATGTGTGTGAGAGTGCTATGATGTGTGTGAGAGTGCTATGATGTGTGTGAGAGTGCTGCGATGTGTGAGATTGCTGTGTATGATGTGTGTGAGAGTGCTGTGTGTGAGAGTGCTATGATGTGTGTGAGAGTGCTATGATGTGTGTGAGAGTGCTGTGTATAATGTGTGTGAGAGTGCTGTGTGTGAGAGTGCTATGATGTGTGTGAGAGTGCTGCGTGTGATGTGTGTGAGAGTGCTATGATGTGTGAGAGTGCTGCGCTGTGTGTGAGAGTGCTGTGTGTGAGTGTTGTGTGTTGTGAGTGCTGGGTGTGATAGTGCTGTGTGTGATGTGTGTGAGAGTGCTGCGTGTGATGTGTGTGAGAGTGCTGAGTGTGAAAGTGCTGAGTGTGAAAGTGCTGTGTGTGAGAGTGCTATGATGTGTGTGAGAGTGCTATGATGTGTGTGAGAGTGCTGTGTGTGAAAGTGCTATGATGTGTGTGAAAGTGCTATGATGTGTGTGAAAGTGCTATGATGTGTGTGAAAGTGCTATGATGTGTGTGATGTGTGTGAAAGTGCTATGATGTGTGTGAGAGTGCTATGATGTGTGTGAGAGTGCTGAGTGTGAGAGTGCTATGATGTGTGTGAGAGTGCTGTGTGTGTGAGAGTGCTGTGTGTGAGAGTGCTGAGTGTGAGAGTGCTGGGTGTGAGAGTGCTGGGTGTGATGTGTGTGAGAGTGTTGTGTGAGTGCTGAGAATGCTGAGTGTGATAGTGCTGTGTATAAATGTTGTGTGTTGGGGGGTAAATAAACAAATAAAAAATTAAGTGGGGGTAAATATATAAAAAAATAAAATAAAAACTAAGCAAAAAAAAAACTAAACCCCCCCCCTCCCTTCTTACCTTTAGCCTGGGAGGGGGGGACAGGCACGTGGTAGCTGGGAGGGGGGGCACCGGCACTCGCACACCATCCCTGGTGGTCCAGTGGTGAGTGAACTCTCTCGCGAGATCGGGGCGTTGCCATGGCAACGCTCCGGATCTCGCGAGAGAAACCCGGCGGAGCTGCAAGACAGAGCTCCGCCGGGTCCTCTCCCTCCCTCCCCAGCCGCAGGTCTATTTAAATGGGCCGGTGAGGGAGCTCTTTGATCTCCCCACCGGCCCTCCATGGAAGACAGCGGGGCCGGCGCTCGGATAGTGCCGGCCCTGCATAGACCGGCAGGGGAGATCCTGGGACCTCCCCTGCCGGCCTCGGCCCCACGGCCACCGCGGCCCACCGGGCATTTGCCCGGTGTGCCCGATGGCCAGTCCGGGCCTGGTCTGACTCATTACTAATCTGCAAGGTTTGTTATTGAATTTTACACACGTGGCTGTGTGTGTGTCACATGGCATTTCTCAATGCTTTCCTATGGACATTCTGCACGTTGGATGCGAATTTCGCATCCAACATCGCAGAAGCGCCTCTAGCGGCTGTCAGGAACACAGCCACTAGAGGTTAGAGTAACCCTGCAAAATAAACGTAGCAGTTTCTCTGAAACTGCTATGTTTACATGTGAAGGATTAAAACCTGAGGGATCTGGCACCCATACCACTTCATTGAGCTGAAGTGGTCTGGGTGACTATATTGTCCCTTCAAAATAAATCTAGTTTTACTGCCACCTATTGGGTAATAGCGGTAGGAAAATCGCTCCATTCAGAATTGATTGGGTTGCTCTGACTCTGATTCAACCGTGGGATATATATATTTTTTCATTTATTTTTTTTCCCTCCCAGGTGCTACCTGCAATTGTGGTAATGCCTGCAAATATAAAAACTGCAAATGTAAATCATGCAAGAAAAGTAAGTGCTGGTTTATGGGTAGAAATCTAATACAACTTATAGTAAAAATGGGGGGGAAAGTATTTTATAAACCTGTATTCCAGTGTAGCTCACTAGTGATGTCGCGAACATTGATGCTGTCCAGGAGGTGGGAGGATCTGGGAGGGAGGGTCTGCCGGAGATTGGCAGGGATGTGTCAGCTGACCGGAGTTCGCCACGAACGGTTCGTGGCGAACGGTTCGTGGCAAGTTCCTGAACGGTTCGCGACAACACTATAGCTCACTAATTCTACATTGAATTATAGGGGCCTATTCTCATTTGAGGGTCCGCATGTAGACATTACATGTGTAGCAGCACCATTGCGGAAAACCTGGAAAAATCCAAGTCTGGTTATTTTGGTCCAAAATTAGAATCTAATTTTTAATTCCTGGCTTTTCACACTTTAGTAAACAAGTGTGTTGTATTTTATTTTGTGTGTGTGTTATGAGCACAGATTTGTAACACCCCCAGCATCCACGTGCTATCACTGACACCCTCATGTGACAGATATCTACGTTGTGGACATCTCCTCCAAATGTGTACTTAAACCATGCGTTATTTACTAAATCTAGAATTTAAGTGAATTGAAAACCAGGCTGTGACTGACCTATTCAAAGAAATTTTCCAAATCAGTTGTTTTTACCTAAATCTTGCAGTTTGTAGTTTATTTCACTACAGCTTGGTGTCTGACAAGTTAGCTGCCCTGAAGAAAGTTCAGATCTCAAACCGAAATGTTGACAGTGATCGAATAATGGTAAACGCTTATTAAAGGACAACTGTCACCTCAAAACTAATAAATCATAAATATAACCCTATCAAAACTTAGTGAAAGGATTATTTTAGTAAAATAGCTGTGACTCCTATTCTTAAGAAGTTGGTGAACTATCACAGCATATACCAAGGACCCTACGGGGCACAGAGTTTTATTTAATTTCCCAAGGCTTCTGTTCTGTTACGGAACTGCTAAACGTTGAAGATCACAATGAATTCCGTTCAGACTGCACTTATTGGCTGATCTTTCTCACACTTGCAGTAAATGCAGCCAGGGCTGTCAGTGTGAAAAGGGATGCGAGAGCTGCAGCTGCTGCAAGTGATTGGTGGATCTGTGTCTGAGACATGACCTGTCACTCTGTAATTTCTGTGTTATGGTCTGATCTGTATGTTAATGATCTGCACTATATTTACAAACCCTGTCAAAGGATTTGTTGCTGTTTTGTAATAAAGAATCCTAAATGTAAACGTCACCGTGTTACTCAATAGTGATTCCTGGTCTCAAACCTACTTGTAGTTTATCTGAGCAAGAGTCACCCTAGTATATATTTTAATTGGGTACGGTGTTAATTTTGGCGGCAAATTTCAATATAGTTTTAGTCATAGTCGTTTGACAAAGTTGTTTTAGTCATCTGAATTTTTTTAGTCGACTTAACCCCTTAAGGACCAATCTTCTGGAATAAAAGGGAATCATGACATGTCACTCAAGTCATGTGTCATTAAGGGGTTAATCTCCTATACATTCTAGTCGACACAACTAAAATCTAGTGGATTTAGGTAATGCCTTTGTCTCTTTTTCCCCTTACCCAGCCCCACTAGGTGTCGTCCCTCCCTCTCCACCCCCCCTCCTTAAGCCACTGTCGACCTCTTTTGCCCCTTTCCTAAACACTCTGTGGCTCTTTGCCCCTCTGTGTCTTTCTCTCCACAGCAACATTTATGTGTCTCTTCCCCGCAGCACCTTGTCTCTTCCCCAACCCCTCTGTTGCTTTGTATGTCTCTCAGCCCCTCCATGTGGCTCATTCTCTCCCTCCAGCTCCCCTTCCATGTCTCATTTCCTCTCCTTCCTCCCCATGTTTCTTACCTGCCAGTGTTAATTTTGGCGGCAAATTTCAATTTAGTTTTAGTCATAGTCTTTTGACTAAAAAGCTATTTTATATATATATATCTCAAAAACCAAAGGTTAGGGTGGGAAAAAATTGTGATTGAAAACCCCTTCCACCTGAAGTATGTGGATAGTTAATACAATGTTAAACACAAATCTGCACACCAGTCAAGCCATAAGACTTGCTTTGTAATTTCTGTGGGAACAAGTCTTATGGCTTGACTGGTGTGCAGATTTTTGTTTAACAATGTATTAACTATCTACAGACTTCAGGTGGAAGGGGTTTTCAATCACAATTTTTTTTCTTCACCATAACCTATTTGGTTTTTGCTTCCCAAGTACTACCGAACCTCAATAACAAACCAGTAACCAACCTCATGCTGATGGTTTGCATTAACAATGAAACAGCTGTCCATGAGTGGTTCACTGGCTTTACATATTTTCCTAAGTTGTGTTTCAAAGCTGTTGTATACAGCAAACACAGACTCAAAGGAATCCATGTTTAAAATGGAATGAGGCAAAAATGTGATTCTTTGTTAAACTAATTTGCATATGCGCATCCAGAATCCTTTGCGGTTGTAACATCACTGCAGATTTGGGATTTCTGTGGGAAAAGCAAGTCTTATGGCTTGACTGGTATGCAGATTTTTGTTTATTGTTTAACATTGTATTAACTATATATGTATGTATATATATAATTTTGATTTTCTTTTCCTGATACTCAGCCCTGGTTCATATTCCATTTATACAGACTTCTGAACCTTTAGGTATACCCTGACATCTGTGACCTGGACCCCCTTCATTGACGAGTTGTTGCCAAAAAAAAAAAAGAAAAATAGTCAACAGATCACTAATAAAAAAAAATTAGGCATGTTAACTGCATGTCAATGAACCTAGAAGCAATTATTTATCCCCTTTAAGCAAGCTCTACTCTGGTTGAAGTTAGAAGAACACTGTTGGCATCATAAGCACTTCAATAAAAAAAAAAAAAAGGAAGTGGTTATGGTGTCTGGAGTCTGTGGGCACCTGGTTCTACATCACTGCTGGATGGTTTACTCACAATTTAGCAGTGATGCTCAGTTCCCAATGATGATATGGCGGAGGCAGCCTTGGTCCCTACCAATTCATACCACCGATTGGGGTAGTGATTGGCTGAGCTGAACATAATTTGCCTCCGCCATTTAATGTTGGAAAGCTGCAGGGGACTGAGCATCTCTTCTTAATGGTGGGAGAACCATTTAGCTGGAATGCAGGACGCAGCCCCCACTGACTGCCTGCAACATAACCACTTCAATGTGTTAAAATGGTTATGGTGCCTACAGTGTTCCTTTAACATCCACTCTACACACCATAATCTCTTCATTTCATAGTCCTCTGGCTCCATCCTATGGTTCACACAGAACAACTGCCCCTGGCTTGCCACAGCTTGGCACTCACTAGACGTAAACTCTTAGTTAAAACAGCTCATACTAATAGTGGGCGGCAGTGATCGACTAAGAATGCAAAATTGACTTAACTTGTCATCGCTCAGACTAATATGCATACCTGGTCCTGGTCATCCATTAGTCAGAGCCCTCGCTATTCACCTAGATTAATTCATTCTGTATCACCTACCACAACTCCACAACCAATTCCTCTTTATCTGTGATGTAAATGCTTGAAGCAACACATCCAATTTCTTGCAAAAGTAAAGCAATACAATTTAACATAACAGTTAAAGGACCACTATAGTGCCAGGAAAACATACTCATTTTCCTGGCACTATAGTGCCCTGAGGGTGCCCCCACCCTCAGGGTCCCCCTCCCGCCCGGCTCTGGGGAGAGGAAAGGGGTTAAAACTTACCTTTCTCCAGCGCTGGGCGGGGAGCTCTCCTCCTCCGATCCTCCCCGTCGGCTGAATGCGCACGCGCGGCAAGAGCTGCGCGCGCATTCAGCCGGTTGCATAGGAAAGCATTATCAATGATTTTCACAGTGAGAATCACGCAAGCGCCTGTAGCGGCTGTCAATGAGACAGCCACTAGAGGATTTAGAGGCTGGATTAACCCATTTGTAAACATAGCAGTTTCTCTGAAACTGCTATGTTTATAAAAAAAAATGGGTTAATCCTAGAGGGACCTGGCACCCAGACCACTTCATTAAGCTGAAGTGGTCTGGGTGCCTAGAGTGGTCCTTTAAGGACTCTTCAATAAAACCCCTGCACACCTTCACACAACTCTCCACGCATCCATACAGTCTCCCTCTTTCTCTCAGACACTGTCACTGCACCCAATCATACACCTCATGACACTTGCCTGGGTTCACCCTCTATCACACTCATATTGTCGTCATTCACTGTCAGACACTCTTCATGCTTACATGAAGTCACCCTCTTTTTCGCTCACACTCCCACGACACATACATTTACAATTTTGCCGCATCCTGGCAAATCTGCTGCGCTGTTGTGTCCACCTCCTAAACCTAATCAGCCTAACAATGCGTAATCCCTATACACCTGAGGTTCCAAGGAGAACCGATACAGCTCAGCTAAGGAATAAAACTTAATAGGAGTCTTGTCATCTCATAACATCAGAGAACTATGATGCATTGTCATAGTGAATAACAAATCTCTAAACAAAATATTTCAATTCTCCTCCCCTGTATACATATCTCCTCAAATACCCACTCTCACTAACTCGCTCTTACCTATTTACCCTCCTTTCCTCTGGTTGGGTTTAAAAGTAGAAATGACAGTGCAGGTAAGTGGCTGGAATTGTTGGGACAGAGTCTCCAGTTGTAATCGGGTTTCTGTAAGTATACACTCTCTGTCTCCCTCTCGTGTGTACCCCTTTCCAGGTCAGACTTCCCGTAAGTTAAATGACCACTATAGTGCCAGGAAAACATACTCGTTTTCCTGGCACTATAGTGCCCTGAGGGTGCCCCCACCCTCAGGGTCCCACTCCCGCCGGGCTCTGGGGAGAGGAAAGGGGTTAAAACTTACCTTTCTCCAGCGCCGGGCGGGGAGCTCTCCGCCTCTGATCCTCCTCCTCTCCTCCCTTTCGGCTGAATGCACACGCGCGGCAAGAGCTGCACACGCATTCAGCCGGTCTCATAGGAAAGCATTTACAATGCTTTCCTATGGACGCTTGCGTGTTCTCACTGTGATTTTCACAGTGAGAATCACGCAAGTGCCTCTAGCGGCTGTCAATGAGACAGCCACTAGAGGATTTGAGTTTCTCTGAAACTGCTATGTTTATATAAAAAAAATGGGTTTACCCTAGCTGGACCTGGCACCCAGACCACTTCATTAAGCTGAAGTGGTCTGGGTGCCTAGAGTGGTCCTTTAAGCAGCAGTTTCTTTTTTTAAAAATATCATCCCTGGTGGACGGTTAGGCGTTGGAGTCCGAATCCGCTCTTTGGTACACCCCACTAGGGGCCTGTGAGGTCATAGGTTCTCTTTATCCAGACATGCCTCAGACTCTCTGGAGTCTCATGGCCTTCCAGGTGCTATCTTAGGCTGTGTTAGCTGCTGCGGCGGCCTATCAAATGAGCACCTGTCAGGCATGAGGGCCAATTTTCGATGTTTGCACCCTATCTCCCTGTTGGGTGGTTAAGAAGCTATCAATGCTTCCTTATACAGGTCAACAGATAACACAATTTGTTACCTTTCATTCCAGCATGTATGGTAAAGAAGGCAAATGTTTAATGTCACTTAAAAAGCCTCTGAATTACTGTTGGCACTGGTGTCATAGGCCGGACTGCAATGTATCTTATAAAAATGTATTTATCCAGGAAAGGTGCATTCAGATTACTCTGGATTCCAAGGATGTCCTGGGGATATTACTTTTGCCCAAAAGCCAGGGGATGTTACTATTGACCAATTTAATTGTACTCATTTTATCTATCTTGGAAGGATGAAGGGCTGAGTCAACCCTACCAGAATTTGAACCTGCAACCCCCACGGGTTGAACATATTCTACTGATAATGCACTTATTCTTAACCCCTTAAGGACACACGATGGAAATATTCCATCATGATTCTCTTTTATTTCTGATGTTGTGTCCTTAAGGGGTTAAAGGTACTTCTCCTCCCTCCCCCCCCCGCCCAGTCTGGTTAGCTTCCACTCACCCTCCAGGTCTGTTGTACAGTTGCGCACGTCCCTATTCTTGTATTCCAGAAAACTAACTAAAGGCCAAATCTATATTACAAAAATGTTTAGACACTGATGCAGTTGCATAGCTCCACTTAAATGGCTTCAATCCTTTCTTTAAAATATTTAATCTTTATTTCTAGAAATAAAATTGATTTTAGCAAAAATTAACATACTACATACAAATGAATAACACAAACACACACACAAAGAGACATTAACATGTAAATGGCTCATTTTTACATCTGAAAAATGAGTCATCAAAGACTCGCTAGAGCAGGTGAGAGAGGTGTGATGAAATTTATCACACCTGGTGTAGTAGGTTTGACAAGCAATACATTAGACCAATGACACAAATGTAATATATTCAATTGCAAACATAGTGCAACCCAATAATTGTGGCAAAAAAAAAAAGACAAAATAGTGTATTTTATTATCCAACACAGGTACAAACATTCCTTTTATACTCACACTTATGAATATTCAAGGAGTGGAACTCATTAAAGAGCGTTCCCAGGGCAGTTTTTGTGCATTGAAAAGTAGGTGTCCATTTTGTCAAATAAAGGTTTTTGAAATTATTTTAGTGCTGGCTTGTGATTTGTCAATTTGTCTAAATCGCAGGCTTTTTGCATGAATGAATTAAATTTGGAGCCTAAAGACATACTCTGAGCTAATCACTAAACTGTGTATTGGAGTGAACCAAATAATGCTAGGCCACAATAGTTAAGCTCAGTTATATTTCCAGCTTTAAAATGCTAATATATAATCTCTAATTAACTGGTGATAGCCCCAATAGCTGATTGTTTCATGTATGTGGGTTTTATTTTTATTTTAGAAAATAAGTACATTATTTAATTGAAAATTAGGACGTATCCACTAAACTATTTGAAATTGGTTTCACAGATTTACCACTGGAAATACAACTGATGTATTGATCTTAATCATTTAACATAAAAAATAATAAAAAGAAGTACCATAAGAACAATTGTCCAAATAAAATAAGCAAGTACACAGTTTGGATTAATGCATTTGAACTAGACAGTTTGTTTAAAAACATAATTAAGGGGACAGTGATGTAAAAAAGAGCTAAGGAAAATAAAAATCTTTAAAAAAAAAAAAGAAAGAAAAAAAAAGCTAGTTAGATGTACATGAAGGTTTCTTAAAATTTGTTCAAGTTTTTTTAAGACAAATAACATGTTCATTTACAATGAGCTTCATGGAGTTTAGCTACAAATCGCAGAGGTCCAAACATCCATACAAACCTTTCCAAAGTTCCTGGAAACTATAAAATACGAGAATCTTTGGCACAAATTATATGTAGTTCTGATGCCTCCCACCCAAACACTTGTTTTCCGGGCTGTTCCCTAGGACATGAACTCTGACTAATAACACAGGAGAAATAACAATAAAAACTTTAAAATATTTATTATCAGCAGGTAAGATGGAGTTAAATAGGTTAATGCTTGCTACCGGAAGATGTTTCGGACTTATTAGTAATGGGCATCAGATTCGCCCTGATGACATCATTGGAAGTAGAAAGTTACTGACTTCCAAGAGGTGTTATTTGAACAGCTCAGAAGCAACAATAGTGTGGTACAAATTGTAACTGGGCTGCAAATTAGTTCCAGGGATATTTCACCAAAGGCTAACCTTCGTTAAAAAAAAAAAAAAAAAAAAGTAACATTTAACATCCTACAAATGAAATGTAACACAGAAACATAGTGAAAATGCTGAAGCTCTTCATACAACCCAGAAAGTAGAAAGCAGGAATATATACAATTGACATTGCAGTACAAAGTGCATTATGCATAAATACAGGTTTCTTTAATGTCACATGATGCTCCAGATGGAGCCAGGACAGTGGAATTGTACAAACGCTTGGCCATGTGATAGCAAAGCTATAGTTCCATCAGAAGTGTCAAACACTAGTTGCCTGGCTGTTCAAAGGATGCAAAGGTCTCTTGTCTGTGATTTTAAATACATTCCTGGCTTTGTGTGGTATGCATGTCAGTAAATTGGAAATCGGCGCTTCTGCAATGCCTACAGGGAGAAAACAAAAGATGTGAGGTTAATCGCCAACATGCTGGGTGCGAAGAAAACATTGCTCCTAATTGAAATCATAACTTAGTAGAAAAGTTCAATATACACATTAATTTATCATTTCCTGCAAAGCATACAAATGTAACACCATTTTCATTATTATTAATGCTCAATAAATGTCGATGTTCTAATAATCTCGCCCTTAAAAGGGACGCTATAGTCACCAAAACAACTTTAGCTTAATTATGTTATTATTTATATAGCGCCAACAAATTCCGTAGCGCTTTACAATGGCTGGACGAACAGACATGTAGTTGTAACCAGACAAGTTAGACACAAAGGAACAGAGGGGTTGAGGGCCCTGCTCAATGAGCTTAAATGCTAGAGGGAGTGGGGTAAAATGACACAAAAGGTAAGGATAGTATTAGACTAATGACAGTTGCAAATGAGGAATCAGTCGGAGCTATTAACAGTTTAATTGATACGCTTTTATGAAGAAGTGGGGTTTTAATGATTTTTTTGAAGGAGTGGAGACTAAGTGATCATGTAACGGAAAAGGGAAGAGAGTTCCACAAGAACAGTGCAACGCTGAATCAGTTTTTGTGTATAGATCATGCCTCTGATGTTTAACTGCTCAATTCACTTTAGGAGTTAAATCACTTTTGTTTCTGTTTAAGTGGCCCTGGCAACACCTCCCCTTGTTGTGGCTGACACTGTCTGCATGAAAACAAAATGGTTTAATTTTTAAATTAGATGTAAGTTTTTATTTCCTGCTCTGTAAATTGAACTTTAATTATACACAGGAGGCTCCTGCAGGTTTAGCAAGCTATTAAAATGGACACTATAGTCACCAGAACAACTACAGCTCATTGCAATTATCCTGGTGAGTAGAATCATTACCTTCAGGCTTTTTGCAGTAAGCATTGTCTTTTTAAAGAAAATGCAGTGTTTACATTACAGCCTAGTGATAACTTCACTGGCCATTCCTTAGATGGCTACTAGAGGTGCATTCTGAGGCAGTGCTCTACAGTAAGCAGCACTGTCATTCAGTGTCTCCACCCTCTGCTGAACTTCCCTCATAGAGATGCATTAAATCAAAGCAACTGTATGAGGAAATGCAGATTGGCCAGGGCTGTGTTTGGCTTGTGCTGGCTCTGCCCCTGATCTGTCTCCTTGACAGTCTCAGCCAATCCTATGGGGAAGCATTGAGATTGGCTCAGACCACAACTTCTGAGGATGTCATAAGACAGGGGCAGAGCCAGCAGCTGCAGACAAGTAAGATTTTACTATATTTAGGGAGGCAAGAAGGGGCTAGATGGTGGTTTTAACACTACAAGATCAGGAATACATGTTTGTGTTCCTGACCCTATAGTGTTCCTCTAACAGCGCAAGAGATAAGAAATTCTAGATTAAACAGAATTTGCAATAAAAGGAAGTGTAAACATTAGAGGACTCTTTACAGGAAGTGTTAAGGTGAAAGTGTAAGTCAAGGACAGACAAGGGCAGCATAAACAAAGAATTGAGCAGTGATACTGCAGGGGCATGATCAAAACACCGAAGCTGCATTGTAACCGCGGACGGTTCCCTTATTTACCACTATAATGTCTTAAAGCATAGAACTTAGTAGGGCTAACCATACAGATATCTTAGCCATAATTTTATATCGTTAGTGTAAGAGATCCTCTATTTAACATATATAAATAATTGAGAATACAATATAAAATAAGGATTGTCTTGGAAGCAATAAAGTTTTGTCTTTTTGATATTTATTATATAAAAATATAAACATATAAAATCCATTATAGCAGAGTTTATAAGATTTAACTAAATGCTTGCATATATCATTAATAGGTTAACATACCCTTTTGAACAGGTCATCCTCTCAGCCTCTCTGTCATTTTAAGATGGAGCAGCATCTGTCTCCAAGTCTCTCCTCTGTGTCTTAACATTTAAAAGTACACCTATTTATACCTTAGGTGTCTCCATTTTAGGGTTACCGTAGTTCATATATAAAAAGTAACACTTCTTTTACTTTATTCATTTTAGGACCTCCCTTAACTTGGCAAACATACAAGGCCATAACTAAAAGGTGCATACGTCATGGAAATTTTCCTGACTTAGTTCAAGATTGCATCTTAAAGTCTGGACATCCTTATCTACTTAAGGTTACCACAGTAGCATAGCCTTGAAGCTTGTTTAGGCATTATTGTTATTGTAATTTGTCTGGGACAAAATGGCGCAAACATATTATGCACAGGGGGTTATTGCTTAAAGAAACAGTTATGAAAAACAATATGTTCCATTTCTAACACCTTGTCAGTTTGCAATATCTCTTAAAGACAAAGTACACAGTTTAAAAAAATAAAACATTTCATTCTAAAACTTGTAATATTTGTATTTGCCCATAACAGCATCATTAAGCTAAAGTTATTTTGGAGATTAAAGTGTCATGAATTAATGTTTAGCTCCCCGGCACCCCTCTCTGTGAAGATAAAAAGGTATTAAACTGACCCTTTATCTAACGCCGCCCTGGAATTGCCGAGCTGGGTCCACCTCCAAAGGTGATCAATCTTGATGATCTCAGTTAATTCAATGCTTTCCAGTGGGAAAGCACTGTGAGTTTATGGCGCATGCACGGCAAAACACTGCACTGTGCTCATTAGCATTTCCTCATAGAGGAATTGAATCAATGTATCTCTATGGGGAACATTCAGCATCTCCATGGAGACACTGAACATAGGTTCTGCACAGTGCAGCTCTGAACTAGAAAGCAACCCTAGTGGTGGTCTGAGTGACTGAAAAGGCAGTGTTTACAGTGCTAAGACTGAAGGGACATACTATAGACTCCAGAACCACTACATTAAGCTGTAGTGGCTCTGGTGACTACAGTGTCCCTTTAAAGGGTTACTCCAATCACCATGACCACTTCAATGATTTTAAGTGGTCACGGTGGTAGGAGTCACTATGTGCAGTATTTCTGCTTGAAACGCTGCACGTTTTTAATTTTGTGCTGGGGGCTAGTTACAACTGCAGTACATGTGACATTGACAGTCCAGAACTCTGTTCTGGGTTGTTAATGTCAATTCTGTGCATATTTTGCATCTGACGCAAGCAAGAAGAAGATTGCTTTCCCCTCCCTTCCACCTCTCTCTTTTTTTTTTTTTCTCCCTCCGTCCTCTATGAGTAGCCTGCGATTGCATTGTTCAAGATCCCTGTGACGTCAGAGGGAGTGCGGAAGTCAGTGCCGAGAGCCTTGCCCGGCGCGGATTCCGGGTAAGTAAAACATTTTTTTTTTTTTTGCAGGTTTACTGCAAATCACACAGGAAAGGTACCCCTCTCCACCCCCTCAAAAGGTTGGAGTAACTTTTAATTGTCATGCACTCACATACAGCACACTACTCATTTAGTGACATCAAGGTTGATGGTGAATAAACATGTGATGCAATGATGGCATAGGGTCTGTGCTGATGGCATAGGGCCCAGATTACTGAAGATCAATTATCTATGTCTATGAAGATACATTTTGCAATCTTATTGCAAAATGTTTGTAACCTTTCACGAATAACAGCAGCTGCTACAGATACCAAATACTTGCTTGTGAGTCGCCGGAAAGGACAGAAACACAAACCGGAGGCTATACATATCACCCGATGTGGCAAGTGGTGGCTAAACAGTCAAAGGCAATGTCAAAGGTGGAACAAGATTTATTTGTTTCAATAGGATGTATAGGGATTTTAAGCCTGTTTTCTATGAAAGCAAGGGCCACCCTCATGCTCTCTGGCTGTTGTGTTCAACCCTTTGATGCTGATTATAGATGTTGAGGAGGTAAATATGATCAGACTGTAAGTTTCCTGTAATTATTGAAGTTGGACCAGCTGTGGTCACCCGTGCACAGAAAATGTGTCTTGACTTTAGCAACATGGGGCACATGATGTCCGTCGCATTTGGTATTATTATTAATTTATAGAGCGCCAGCAAATTCCGTAGCGCTGTACAAGGGGTGGACTAACAGACATGCAATTGTAACCAGAAAAGTTGGACGCACAGGAACAGAGGGGTTGAGGGCCCTGCTCAATGAGCTTACATGCTACAGGGAGTAGGGTACAAAAGTATTGAAGACTTAAATTTTTTTTAATCAACTTCTTCAAAAAGTTGTATGATTTTTTTCCCCCCCTTTTGCTTTGTCCACAACAAATTACCATACTGGAGAACACTTCCATGTTGTGGTTGGAATTAAAAAGCAAAGAAAAACACTCACCGGCTGGTGCCAAAGATCTGATGGCCTCCAAAATGTGTGGACTTGAAAACTTTACAACGCATCGGAAGGGATCTGTTCGGGTAGCAAGACCACTTTCACTTTTAAACATGGTTTCCAGCTGTTCAACAACAGTGTTAGGTGAACATTAATTTTGTTATCATAACCAATATAGGCTGTAAAACATAGAGGTGCCAATTCTAAGAGAGGCTAAATGCTTCCAAATACAATATAAAATAGAACAAACAGAATTCAGGTTTTTCAAAATACAAGGTCAACGGTAACTGCAATATACTTCTAAGAGGTGTCAGTACACATAGACGCTTAAATAATTAGGGAATCATTTTGGTGTTTTTTTCACTAAATGACCTAATTTAGGCTAAAACGGACTACATGTGACTATGGCAGACTTAGATTATTTTCCAGCTATTGTTGCCATTCAGGGTTCAATTCACTACTGTTCAAAGTTTGTGAATAAATCAGTATTATGACATGAGTAACCTTTCATCTCTATAAAAAAAAACAACAAAAAAACACAACAACAACAACAACAACAACAAAAAAGAAACCACACCTTACAGAGCCAGGCACTTGCAAATACAAAAAACAGGTACGGATACTCTAACAAAATATTTACAATACTAACAGTCATCCTGTTGTTCTGTGTACTACAGGCACTGGATGAGCTACCTAAGTCTATCCTTAGCATACATGTACGACGACATGCACAGGAAAGGGGCGCGGCCTGCATAAAATATCTTTTACCAACTTCCATTCACTTGCCTGTGCAATATTTAATTTATTTCAAAGGCAGTGGGGAAGCTGCAAGGGCATGTTTTGAGCATACAAGGGCCTCTTCGTTAACGTGCATGGAAACACGCTGCACTGAGGATTCTGGGTAACATGAAGCCGGTTTAAAACAGCATTGTTCTAATGATTTAATTGGCTCTGAGGAGCCACATGTGCATGTTTTGGTCCATTTGGCCTGTAACTGATCTTTGACCCCTTCAGGACGGAGTCAATAGTACACGTTTTGATCAAAACAAAACGTAAACAAAAACTGGAATATGCGCTATATATGTGTTCAACCGTAATTCACCTCTTTCATATTAAATGCACCCACACTTATTATATATTATTTTGTTCAGGAGAAACAGGGCTTTCATTTCATATCAAATGTTTATATATGAAACATAATTTATTATGATTAAAATTAAAAAAACTGTGAGAAATTTAAATTTTTAACAAAAAATTGTAGTTCTGCCTCACATTTTAGCTGTAAATGTCATAATACTGTTGGGTTTTACTGTAAAAAAAAAAAATGCACATATTTGTAATCAGTGATGTCTCACGAGTACAACAGTACCCCCCATTATCAGGTTTTGTGGTGTTTTGGAAAGTTACAGGGTCAAATATAGAACGTTCCATTTTCAAATTGAAATTTGCCAGATTAGTAATGTTACCTTTGAGACGGTGTGGTAGCCCAGGAATGAGAATTACCCCCATAATGGCATACCATTTGAAAAAGTAGACAACTCAAGGTATTGAAAGTAGGGTATGTTTAGTCTTTATAAGCAGCCACTTAGTCACAAACACTGGCCAAATATGCCATCATGGGGGTAATTCTCATTCCTGGGCTACTATATGCTTTCAAAAGGCAACATAACCAATCTGGCAAATTTCAATGTCAAAAAAATGAAATGCAAGCCTTATATGTGACTCTCTAACTTTCCAAAACACCACAAAACCTGTACATTGGAGGGGTACTGTTATTCTCAGGAGACTTCACTAAACATAAATATTAGTGTTTTAAAACAGTAAAACATATTACAATAATATAGTCCATAAAAATGCCGTTTGTTTGTAAAAAATGTCACTTTTACTTAAAATATCATTGTTGTAATACAATTTACCAGTTTTAAACACTAAGATTTGAGTTCAGCGAAGTCTCCCGAGTAAAACAGTACCCCCTATGTGCAGTTTTTATGGTGTCTTGGAGAGTTACAGGGTCAAATATAGTGCTTGCGAATTAAATTCTCTGCACTTTCTCCCTGTGTTGTCAGGCATGTCAATCAAATCACATAATTATGTTAAAAGATTACTTAAATATACACGTAGAATTTTAATATATATGCATTTATAAGTATTTAAATTCTGTGTGTATACTAATGTAATCTTTTATGTAACTATATACATAAAAGATTACAAATGGATGGAACAAATTGAGAGCACTCATTGGATTTAGTAAACAAAAAAAATATATTAAATCAAACGCATATAAATCAACGTTTCGACCGTCTAGCGGTCTTTATCAAGATGCATTTTTTATTTTTGTTACATATTTAGTCTCTTCAGATCATATAGACTTTTTTGATACAGTTCTTTTTTCCATTTCATACACTGTCGTACATCTCACACATTTGACTTCTTTGCAATTCTTCACACATTCACTCTTTTTTTTTTTTCTCTTTATTCAGCACGCACACACACATTAGTCTGTTCTGGTTAACCCTTTGGCTAACCCGTTTTCATTCATACTGCTGTCTTTAACATTCCACACTTATATACATTTAAGACCATGTAATCAGACTTTATTTCTTTCTCCTCCATATATGCTTTTAATTTTACTCCGATTTTTTCTCTTTTAAAACAACTTTGCCGTTTCTAGACAATACTTGGTGGCTGTGCTTTATGTCACTTTTCGGCAGTATGTTTGACAGTCTTCGGTTTGTGGCTTTATTCACAGAGCAGACCGGACAAACAGGGTGCACTTGGTGATTGGGTAAGTTTAACACATTAGATTGTATATATATATTTGAGATTTTCACATGTCATAACATCTTGATAAAGACCGCTAGACGGTCGAAACGTTGATTTATATGCGTTTGATTTAATATATTTTTTTGTTTACTAAATCCAATGAGTGCTCTCAATTTGTTCCATTTGTATATTTTGCACGGAGAGGCACCAGGTCATTGCTGAATTAATGCTTTTGTTATGGGATGAGTGCCAGAAACTACTGTGAGATATATATATATATATATACACACACACAGTTATTTGTATTGTATTATATATATATATATATATATATATATATATATATATATATATATATATATATATATATATATATATATATATATATATATATATATAAATAACAAAATACAGTTAGAATGAAATTACATATGAATATATAATTTATATAAAATTTTGTTTCAATATTTTATTATTTTAATTATTGTAATTATACATATATATAAATAATGTGTATATATCTATTATATAATACATATATATATATATATATATATATATATATATATATATAACGTCATTCTAAGTGTATTTTGATATTAATATATATTATATATATATATATATATATATATATACACACACACACACACTGATATTAGTATTAAAATACATTATGTATGACGTTACACACATACACATATAGTATATATATAAAAATATATTTCATTTATTTTTAAACATGTTTAATTTTTTTTTTTTTTTACACTACCTACCAGCAGCCCCCCCCCCCCGCTGGCAGATCCACAGCCAGCTATAGGGGCCCATGTGATCGCTCTTGGAGAGCGATCACATGGCCCTCGGGGGCCTCATTTTCCAAAGGAGGGCTGCCTGGGCTGTCAGGTAGCCCTCCAGAAGAGGATCGCGGCGGAGGTAAGTACCTCCGATCTCTTGGGGGCTTAAGCCGTTACGGCGTTCTATGCCGACGCAAAGGCTTTAAAGCCGCGACGGCATAGAACGCCGTAACGGCGTTAAGGGGTTAATGTTCACTTAATGAAGAAGGAAAGAAAAGATATTTGTTTACAGCTCCCTAGAAAACATAAATTTAAATGGTTCTTAAAGGAAAACTACCATTCTTCCTTAGATTCCATCCAAAGCACAGTCATTTAATCCTTTATTGGGAGTACGTGTTTAAACAACCAAGGATCATTCTGCTTTACATTCATATTGTGACAACATCAGCACTCGTCACCATACGCAACATAATACTGATCTGCTATGCAAAGCAGAGCGAAGTGAAATAGCAGCACTCAGGTGTGGAACCTGAGATGTCAGAGTTTTCCTTTTAGTATTTGCCTGACTTACCTTGTACGATGCAGTTTCCAGTTTTGGCAGAGGTCCATCACCAAAGGTCTCCCGGGTCACATGATCAATCCTTTCCTTCTCTCTAAGATTTTCGTACGTAACTCTTGGGTCAACTAACAAGAAAATAGATATTGTGACTTGATTGTTCCTTTACTGGCACCATAAAGCAGTTAAGCAATTTCAAAGTAAATGTTTAGCTTTTTTCTTCTTCTTAAAACTGCACAGACAGCCTTTGTATCTAATGGTAAACATCAAGCAATCTTTTGGACTGTGGTTCCCACAATTCTCTATGGCTGACAGAGGATTATGGGAGCAGGAATCCAACAAGACGGAAAGTACCTATTGGACACTTTGCTATCTGGTGAACCTAATCCAACACACTCTAAAGAACCCTAAACAGTATATCACTTGCAATTCTTAACCACATATTTTCACAAACCATTCCATTAGAATATAGATTGAAGAACATACCAATGGCTGGACTATAATTCCTTTCCTGTAGTGGTCTTGGGTGATATGACTGGAAAGGCTGCAACAAAAGTCAAACATTGCGTTATTTACAGAGAAAGAAAATAGTTGCAATTAAATAGCTTTTTTTTCCTTTCAATAAATCTGTGTTTTCAGGATTACTTTTAATTCCATGCAAAATAAGCATTATAACGACAGTCATGGAATTATTTAAAGTAATGCAAGGTTAATATATTAAGAGGGGCTTTAAGCTCATTGTTGTTGGTCTGGTAGGTGGAGTTTGGAAGTGCTGTCCCCTCATTTTCTGTATATGATTTAGAAAAGTTTGATAAAAGCAGGGCAACACTCCCTGGCATCTACGGCCTCGCTTTTCTGCAGCCACATAAATAATTCAAAAATGATACTTCTGAATTATTAAAAAGGGACACTATAGTCACCAGAACAACTACTTTATAATAGGTCCCTTCAGGCTTTGTTCATGCAAACACTGCCTTTTCAGAGAAAAGACCGTGTTTACATTTCCCCTAGGGGCACCTCCAAGTGGCCACTCCTTAGATGGCCACTTGAGGGGCTTCCTGGCTCAGGGCTGCACAGTAAGCAGCCCAGCCATTCAGCGTCCCCACACTCTGCATGGAGATGCTGAATTTTCCTCATAGAGATGCACGGATTTAATGCATCTCTATGAGGAGCTCCTGATTGGCCAAAATGGCATTTGGCCACGCTCTGTGCCGATTTTTAGCCAATTCAATGCTTTCTTTATGGGAAAGCATTGGATTGGCTAAACACCGGCCATTTTGATGATGTCACAATGGGGGCGGGGCCAGCATGGCAGACCTGCACGGCGCTGGAAATAAGGTGCATTTTATACTTTTATAGGGGGGCTAAGAGGATACAAGCCACCTAAATGGTGGGTTAAACACTATAGGGTCACGAATACAAGTTTGTGTTCCTGATACTATAGTGATCCTTTAAAGGACCACTATAGTGCCAGGAAAACACACTTGTTTTCCTGGCACTATATTGCCCTGAGGGTGCCCCCACCCGGCTCTGGAAGGGGGAAAGGGGTTAAATCTTACCTTTTTCCAGCGCCGGGCGGGGAGCTCTCCTCCTCCAATCCTCCCCGTCGGCTGGCTGCGCGTGCATTCAGCCGGTCGCAAAGGAAAGCATTTACAATGCTTTCCTATGGACGCTTGCGTGCTCTCACTGTGAAAATCACAGTGAGAAGCACGCAAGCGCCTCTAGCGGCTGTCAATGAGACAGCCACTAGAGGATTTGGGGGAAGGCTTAACCCATTCATAAAACATAGCAGTTTCTCTGAAACTGCTATGTTTATAAAAGAATGGGTTAAGCCTAGCTGGACCTGGCACCCAGACCACTTCATTAAGCTGAAGTGGTCTAGGTGCCTAGAGTGGTCCTTTAAGTGTGATTCTGTCCAACCTTGGCAGCAATGGCTTACAGATGAATATTACCTGCTAGGTATCTCATCACAATAGGCACGCAGACCACTTCAGTTCATTGAAGAGGTCTGGGTGCAGTGTCCCAAGTCCCTTAACCCTCCAATGGTAATCAAAGTGAGCGCAGCCAGCGCTTGCTGCGCATGTGCATTAAGTCCCTGACATCAGGGAGAGGAGGAGCAGAGGTGTACTGACATCGGCGTTGGAATAAGGTAAGTGAAAGAAGGTGTTTTTTTAACTGCGAGGTAAAACTATGTTTTCCTAGCACTATAGTTTTCCTTTATAGAAGAAAAATTAAAGGATCAACTGTCAATTATGTGTCTGGCCAATTGTCAGAAAAAGCTATATTTGGCATATGGAAGGTCTAATGCACGAGCACTTTCCGCACATTGGCATTAGGTTCCCCCCCTTTTTTCGACAACGGAGGAGGTGGAGCCTCTGCCCTGGAGAGAGGTAGGTATTAACCCCTTAAGGACACATGACATGTGTGACATGTCATGATTCCCTTTTATTCCAGAAGTTTGGTCCTTAAGGGGTTAAAGGGATTTTTTTTTTAACCCTTTCAACATCAGGAGGGGGCCAGACAATAACAAAGGGACACAATAGCGTTAGGAAAACAATTTTGTATTCCTAAAACTATATTGTTCCTTTAACTGGCTGATATGTTAGAATTTATCAATTCAGTTTCCTACACTAAAAGCCTATGAGTGCATTTTTCACTTCGCTGTTTTCTTTAAACGTTTATAGACCCAAGTTAGCACCAGGGAACAAACAAGTGGTGAAAGCAGTTATGTGCAAGGGGTACTGGAGACAAAAAAAAAAAAATCTTTTACTGACCTGATAAATTCTCTTGAAAACGATATCCATCAAGGAATTTAAACATTTGCTTCTGAGATCCAGTTCCTGAATCTGACTGTAATTGGCAGCAATGACCAGGGCCTTCAAGGATGAAAACATGAGTTTAAAACTAGATTCTACACATACACAGTCTCGTATTGGAGACCAATCACAATACATCATCATGTTATGGAGGGCAGAGCCAGATTGTTGCTAGTATGCGGAAAGACTCCACACAAACACAGATGGTGACAAACTGGAGATTAACTGGTTTCCATTTTAAATGTAAGCATGACCTGTGTTTTTTTTTTTTTTAATTAATTAGAAACATTTTTAAATGTACTACTCAGGATTTGTTTTAAAATGACGCTTATTGAAACCTGAGGAACTTAGCGGATCAGTCCTGAAGGGAAGAAGGTTACCCCAAAGGCCTTTATACCAGGAATGACTTCTCTGAGCCACGTGTGCGAATCTTAAAATTACAAAGTGATAATAAATAGTTAAACAGTAAAAAAATGGCGCTTATATAATCTTATTCAAGGGCATATATACATAAAAATAAATAGCTGCAACTTTAAAGTGTTAATCAAAAAAAAACAAATAGAATACAAATTTTTTTAAAAAGGTGCGCTGTGTCTTTAAGATCTTAACGCAAAATGAAAAATTATACTCTCATTTGTGCAAAAATTGCAATGCCTTAAGGTGTAAAATACCCTTTATACAACACTCTCTTAGTGTTTTTGACAAAATATATAAAAGAGTAAAGTTCAAAGTGTAGTAGAAAACAATTGCAAAAATACACTTTAAAACTTCCACAACTCACAAAATGATATTCTCCTCAGACCATTCAAAAAAAGGTCGTTAGGTGTCCATGCACATGTATAAAATAAAAGAGGAGATGTGGAGAGAAAATATATAGTGTAATATTGTTATAACACTGTACAATATTAAAACCGAGAAATTTGCACTCACAAGTTTAGAGCAGACAAGTCAGCTCTAACTTTAATGGCTCCAAATAATGATCCCAAGAGAAATGCAGGAAAAACATGTAGAATAAATCTTTATTTCACACATTTAAAAACAGCAAGCAATCGGACCTTCTTCCCCTTTTCCTCTGTAAGTAAGATTCTTGTGCGGTCCTATTAATTTGGCCAGAATCTCGGGACCGGACTTCAGATTTTCTTTGAGGCTTCCGGGAGGTGGGGTTACTGACCACTTGTGTGTGTAGTGACGTCGGTAGTGTACTGACACGTTTCGCCGTAATGACTACTTCCTCAGATCTACCTTTTCCTTGCCCGCATTCTACTTATAAGTCCACCCTGTATAAGCGTATACTTGAACAGTCCAGAATTTCTCACTTGGCTAATGACATTGGCTAATGTCAAGTGAGAAATTACAGACTGAACAATTATACGCCCATTGTGCAATTTCTTGAACAAATAAGAGTATGATTTTTCACTTTATATTAAGGTCTTAAAGACACAGTGCACCTTTTAAAATAGTTTTTATCTTTAAATTACACCGTCACCAGTTGTGCGTGTTTGGAACCCACCCTACCCCCTCCCTAATGCATTAAATACATCATGTATCACAGAGGTACAAGATATATTCAATGTAACATCTTCAAAAATACTCGCCTTACCTCCATTTCAGTGCTGGCATGACCAGAGCTTCGTGTAACACCCACCTCCAATCTACCCAGTCACTTTTGTGATTTGCCCTACTTGAGCAGGGTAAACCTCCTCTGTGATGCTGATACACTGGCCTTGTTACCAGTGTCTGAAAGGAGTGTCACACCTGTGCCATTCCTATATGCCCTATCTAGTGCTAGCACTGTCAGCTTGGGAGTTTCTACACCAACCACAGAACATGCTGCTTTGTATGAAGAGCAGAAAGACCCATACGGGAGATCTTTTCTGCTCTCCCTTGAGAGCACAAGTTCTATATAGTATGACTGGTACACTTTAAAAGGGACACTATAGTAACCAGAACAACCACAGCTTATTGTATTTGTTCTGGCGAGTTTAATCATTCCATTCGGGCTTTTTGCTGTAAATACTGTTTTTTCATAGAAAATGCAGTGTTTACATTACAGCCTAGTGATAACTCCACTGTCCTCAGATGGCTGCTAAAGCTGCTTCCTGGCACAGTGCTGCACACTGGGAACGCCATTCAGTGTCTTCACCCACTGAACTTTCCTCATAGAAATGCATTGGTTAAATGTATCTCTATGAGGAGATCCTGTTTGGACAGGGCTGTGTTTGGCTTGTGCTAGCTTTGCCCCTGATCTGCCTCATTGACAGTCTTTGTCAATCCTGTGGGAAAGCATTGTGATTGGCTCACATAATCACTTCTGATGATGCAGGCAGGTCAGGAGCAGAGGCAGCAGACTTAACTACAAGTAGGATTTTACTATATTTAGGGAGGCAAGGGGGGCTAGATGGTGGTTTTAACACTATAGGGTCAGTAATACACGTGTTCCTGATCCTACAATGTTCCTTTAAGAAAATCTAACAGACAGAAAGATAATTTATACATAACAGAGAACACTGTGTTGCATATTTTGTTTTCATTTGAAAAGATCCTGAATTGATGTTTTCTCTTAGTGTTGGGGCTTTAACCACTGGTGCAGCCAGACCCACAAAATAGGGAACCTACATAGGTTATTTATTTTTAATTGACCTGCTTTGCATTCACAATCTATAGCATACATTAGAAGAAGAAAAAAAAAAAAAAAAAAAGAGACAGACATTCCCCCGGCATAGATAACCTTTAAATTTGCATAGTAAGTAGCTGTGCCAGGAACACATTAAAAATTATAAAACATTTATTTCTGAATTATTATTTTTTTTTTAAATGAGAAGTAAATTTCATTACTGTTTTTAGTTGACCATCAGATCGCACCAAACCCCTAGAGCTGCATTAAAAACCCTTTCCCCACCACCTATTTTTAATGCAAAAAAAGGTTAAAAACGTACCTGACAAAGCAAAGGTTGGCAAGTCTTTGTGATATTCGTTACGAAGGCGTATGGGGTATGTGATTGGTATACAACAAAGGTAGGTTTGTACTGATCTGGCCTGGTATGGTTTTTCCCCCATGCTATACGGATCCAGAGTGCTTCCCCGAACTCTTTGAAGTGGATGGTAACCTGCCAGTTGAATTTTTGAAATCAAAAGTAAAAAATACTTAAAATAAAAAATGTTTTTTTTGTCTTGTACAATTTGCAAAGCAGTTGAAATTTAGAATAGATGCAACTGCAAAGAGCACCTGGGTCATGATTATGCATGGCAAAAAAAGACAGGCTAGAACATACTCTTTAAAGGACCACTATAGTGCCAGGAAAACATACATTTCCTGGCACTATAGGGTTTCTAGGTCCCCCCCACACGTAGGGTCCCCCTCCCGCCGGGCTCTATGGTGAGGAAGGGGTTAAATACATACCTTTTCTCCAGCGCCAGGCATGCGCGGCAGGAGTGTGAAAATCACCCAATAAAAAGAAGCAGAGACTGACCAACACCATGATTAAACTGTTTGTGTATGAATGTGTGGGCCTGTGCCTTCATCATAACAATAATAATAGACAAATAACAGTAACGACAAAAATCACATTTCCAGAATTTACACTCACGTTTTTGGAAACTGAATGAATACTCTTTTTAAACTGAAGCTTGTATTCTGACAAATCGAAAAAATCTATTTCAGATTCTGCAAAATAAAATCAGGAGTCATAGTGTTAGACAGGCAAGTTAAATCAGTGTCTCCCAAATGTTTTTGGACCATGGCAAAGGCAGATAATGAATGCGAGATTTATTTACTGAACAAGCTGACCTTTTGGTTTTAATTAATGAACAATGAAAATCCCAATTTTAATTGGAACACATTTTACGGATTGCGATTAATTTACTACAGTCTTGAAATCAATGTATTCATATCACACTTTAAAAGCACACTGTAGTCACCAGAACAACTGTTTTGCTTTATAGATCATACCCCTGCAGTCTCACTCAATTCTTTGTCATTTAGGAGTTAAATCACTTTGTTTATGCAGTTCTAGACACCACTCCCTGCATGTGACTTGCACAGCCTTCCTAAACACTTCCTGTAAAGAGAGTCAGCTAATGTTTACACTTCCTTTATTTTAAATTCAGTTTAACTTAGAATTTCTCATCTCCTGCTCTGTTAATAGCTTGCTAGACCCAGCAGGAGCCTATTGCATGTAATTAAAGTTCAATTTGCAAATCAGGAGATAAAAACTTTTAAAGTTAGTTACATCGGATTGAAAATGAAACCATTTTGTTTTCATTCAGGTTGTGGCAATCACAGCCAACTAAAGTGATTTAACTTCTAAATGGCAGTGAATTGAGCAGTAAAACTACAGAGGCATGATCTATACACCCAAATTGCTTCATTAAGCTAAAGTTGTTTTGGTGACTATAGTGTCCCTTTAAAGAACGACGAAAGTCACCCAGACTACATTATCGTAACAAAGTGTTCCAAGTGTAGGGGCTCTGTAGTTTTAACCCTGCACTGTAAAACATTTCAGTTTTGAAGAAACTACAATGTGAACATGGCAGGGTTAATTAGGCCTCTAGTGGTTGTATTTCTGACATTCCCTAAAGGTGCTTTCTCCGCCAGAAACGAGTCAAACTCGGCACTGCAATCAAATGCCGCCCATACCAGCATTTGATTGTTGCCATACATGCGTTTCTCCAATCCTTTATTTCTCAATGAAGATCTCGGAAGATGTTAACTTGCAGGCTGACACCCCCAGTGGCAGAGTGGTGGGGTCTCAGGAGAGGTGAGTAATCATTGTTTAACTTAAATTGTTTTTACCAGCAGGGACAGTGGTCACAGTAATATAAGGGAATGTATAACCTGAAAAACTAAATGTTGCTTTCAGGACTACAGGTCCCCTTTAAAAAGAATTGAAGCACAACAGTTAGATTGTACAATGCCACTTACTGATAAGAAAATATATCATTGGGAGTATTCCTATTTCTGCACTTAGCCAAGTCCTGGTCATTAATAAATAAAACCACTTGAGGCTGATAAGCAATAAACCACTTCAAACCTCTGTTGAGCACCGATATATGTGATATACACAGATGTCTAATTGAAAACACAAGACAGGCCAAGACTGGCTGAGTATCTCATCTACTTTCCGGTTACTGTTAAAGCTGTACATTTAGAGTAAAAATGTGTAAAGCTTTTTTAAAATAAAACTCCAGTCACTGAGCCACTTTAAAAATAATTCCCAGGTGGAACAACAAGTAGAAATAGACATGTCATATAATTGTTTCTTTGAAGGTAGTACATATCGCAATAAAGACAAATGTGATTATAAAGCATGGACATGCACATAGTAAACTTTTGTCAGTCGGAACGTGATTCTTTGGCTGAAATTACACCCATTTTTCTAGTACAGATCTCATATAATTTTACTGAGTATCACCAATGCGATAACTTGAACTTTTTAACTTCAAACACCCAAATATTATGTTAAAAAAAAAGGTTATGCAAGGGACAACGGAAAACATTCTACAAAAGCGATAACCTACCCAAGGGTTTGGACATTTGATAGACATTCCAAGTTTTCTTTTCTGGATTGGCATGATTAACTGGAAAATAAAAATGAAAAGTGGAATGACGTTTTTATAAGTAAAACAGTTGATAAACAACAGTAAAATAATAGAAATACCGGTATGCAAACCCATTTTTTTTTGTCAATTCATTTAGCAATTCATTTAGCATAGGACAGATGTAGAACTGCTTGCAGAATAACAGTACAATAGAATAATCCATTGTGTAGTTTGAATATATGAATAGAATTCTTTAAACAGAGGATAGGTAACATAGAACTAGACATAGCAAGTTGCAATATTCTATCTTAAGCCACTTGTCTTTGTAAATGGATAAAGTTATCTGTTGGAACCACATTTGTGTTCAAGAAGCCTGTGAAAGCAGACAATAGATTTTGAAATAAAGATTCATATCATTTTACATATAACAAACGGGTTCCAGATTTCTGTTTTCTTCCTTAAAGGACCACTATAGGCACCCAGACCACTTCAGCTTAATGAAGTGGTCTGGGTGCCAGGTCCATCTAGGGTTAACCCATTTCGGACTTTGTTTACGGTTTTGGAGGAATCGATACGCATCTGCGCCCCATTTTAGACCTTTCTTCCCTGTTTCCGGACGGAGTGGAACGCATTTGCGTTTCAGAGACAGATCAACTGGGACTTCCGGTATTGTGAAAACGAGGCTTGGAGCGCACGCGCCTTTAGAAGCGCGAAAGGATAATGAAACCCGACGGAGGAGATTATCTGCAGATGATTCCGATTGAAGACACTTTTAGGATTGGCTGAATTTTTTAAGGCAGGATATTTAAGTGTTTACATGTTTGTATTTTGTGTATATTGTTGCCACAAGCCCTGGATGAAGTCATTGAGACGAAACGCGTAGGGTGGCAAGCTTTGTATTTATATTTTTATTGAGGATCTCTCCATCTCCCTTGTCTCCATATTTCTCTATATCCTGATGGTTATATTTTGCTTTGGTGGAAGACATTGAGTTTGATTTGAAGAGCCCGATTACTACTGTTACTACTTTTTTATACTATACAGTTATACACTATGGTCTGTCTTTGTGCTTTGTTTTAAGCATCCATCTCTACACTAAGAATAGACGAAGCATTTTAAGAAGACTGACTATACCCTGCCTATTTATATCTTTGTTTGTGAGTGCATTTTAGTTTTCCTTTTATGGTATGTTTTTTATTTTACAGTCTGCACTATTAGTCTCCCTTTGTACTTTTTAGGTTGTGCTTTTTATTGTTCCATCTAGGGTTAACCCTGCCAGCTGTAAAGAGAAACTGCTATGTTTACATTAGGGTTAATCCAGCCTCTAGTGGCTGTCTCATTGACAGCCGCTAGAGGTGCTTCCGCACTTCTCACTGTGATTTTCACAGTGAGAAGACGCCAGCGTCCATAGGAAAGCATTGAGAATGCTTTCCTATGGACTGACTGCACGCGTGGCTCTTGCCGCACATGCACATTTTTTTCTTTCAATTTCAATATATAAGTTTTTTTTCTATCAAATACATACTGATTTTTTTCCCTAGCTTTCCTTATCATAAGTTAACCCACAGATAGTTACCTTCACAATATAACAAGAAAGTTTACACTTCATTGGAAAGTAATAGACATACAGAATACTTACAGACAAAGTCGAGATTTGCAGCATCTTTCATTGTAGCATTCTTAACCTACAAAATAAACAAAAAAAGGTCAAACATTAGGGTTCAACCAAAGTTTTCTTTCAGTTGGAGAAGTTAAAACAGACTTTGAAACAAGGAAAGTAATCCTAATTGAGCATGGTTTACTGGTGCAACTACCAGCACTGCTATCTACTGCCATCATGTGGCCGAATTAGGTTTGTGCACTATAAAACCGTGCCGCCCACACAAAGGTTTATTCTAACCAAAACCAGTGTTTTATGAATAAACTGTTTTTTGGTTGCTGTAACATACCAACTATAATCCAGTGCTGGGAAAGACTCCATGCAGAAACCCAGTCCTCGTCCGATGTGGTCATCAGTTATATTACTTGTGTCTAATCTAAAGTATAAAAGAGCATGCCATATAACATGCTTCTCATAAATAATCACTGAATCCAATGCTTTTCTATTAATATTCTACTTCTCTCTTTTATTCCTTCAAAAACCAAATGTCTTGATAAGAAAGTCCCTTTAGTGGCTGTCTGTGAGAGTCACTAATAGAGTGTTTTAGGACAAATGTGAACATTGCCATTTCTCAGAAATTGGAATATTTTACAATCAAAGACAAAGGGGGCAAAATCTATGCAGCAAAAGTGGTAAACATTACTATTTCTCAGACAAAAGGGCAGCCTCTATATGCAATATGTTGTGGTTTTAGCCCTTGTGTATTAATTTATATTGATTAAATGGACATGCTTAGCCCTTGTGAATTAATTTATATTGATTAAATGGACATGTCCGTTCAATCAAAGATTGCATCCATGCTTACTATGAAAGCATACAATTCTCTCATTCTGGATTTTAGGAATGCCAAAATATTATACATCAATACATAATGGTCACCAAACACATACTGTGTGATCTCATACCTCGCAAAAACGTACCACCTCCATTGCTAGCATTTCCTTTGGTCGTATGGTCAATGTTTGCAATTCCTTTTCAGCTAAGAATCCCCATTCTTTTAAGATATTTAATATATCTGGAGTTGGCAGCCTCAGTATTGTTCTTTTAATGAATTCGGCAAGGCACTCATCGATTATAGAAGCGCTGGAAAAAAAAAAAATGATTACAAAAGATTTCAATATATGAAAAAGAGCAATAAATGAACATGTGCACTCTAGTCATCAGTCACAAAAGCACTCCCTTTAAAGGGACACTATAGGCACCCAGACCACCTCATCTCATTGAAATGGTCAGGGTGCAGTGTCCCTGTCCCCTTAACCCTGCAATCTAAAACATTGAAGCTTTAGAGAAACTGCAATGTTTATATTGCAGGGTTAAGACTGCCTCTACCAGACAGCTTTGTATTCCTAACACTATGGTGGTTCCTTTAAGTTGAGGAGGTGGGTGCTATCTTGTCCAGAGATGTAGGTTTAGTCAAACTTCCACCAGATGTCAAAGGGATACTCCAAGCATCATATATCCTAGAGCCCACTGTAGTAGTTGTGGAGCTAGGAGTCGCCTGGCATGGCAGTTAAACTGACAAACTCTTTAAAGATGACGCTTACCTGTCTCTGCCGGGCACCAAAGTTCCATCTGGTGTGGGTTGCACTTTATCATACCTTGTTGGAACGTGATTCTCTGGCTGAAAGCATCAACAGGATAATGTAGAACTTTCAACCTCCGCATTACCATACCAGGTCAGAACTGAAGCAGCAAGCTTGTCCAAAAGAGGTAGTTAAATGTCAAACTGGTCTTAGACAGTTAACCATTGGGCTGTGCCAGAAGACTTTGGCAACATAACTGTGTTTCTATGTTACAGTGTTTAGAACGTCACTTTAATGTAGGCAAAACTTTTTTTTTTTTTTTTTAAACAAGACTAGTCTTCTTCCAATGTACAGCAGCATGGTAATCAATATGGAAAGAGTATTTACACTGACCACAAGTTAAACAGCAACTCTGGTCTGTCCAGTACAGTAACTAGTTACTTAAAATGAACCAGTTACTAACAATTTGTGTGGATGGCAGAGTCACCCTGTGTTGATCATATTGGTGAACATTTATACATAGTTACATAGCTGAAAAGAGACTTGCGTGCATCAAGTTCAGCCTTCCTCACATTTGTTTTTTGCTGTTGATCCAAAAGAAGGCAAAACAAAACCCAGTTTGAAGCACAATTTTGCAACAAGCTAGGAAAGAAATTCCTTCTTGACCCCAGAATGGCAGTCAGATTTATCCTTGGATCAAGCAGTTATTACCCTACATTGAAAGATTATATCCTTGAATATTCTGTTTTTGCAAGTATGCATCTAGTAGCTGTTTGAACAGCTGTATGGACTCTGATAAAACCACTTCTTCAGGCAGAGAATTCCACATCCTGATTGTTCTTACAGTAAAAAAACCTTTCCTTTGCCTTAGACAAAATCTTCTTTCTTCCAGTCTAAATTAAACCTAACTACAAGTACCGGTATATTGTTTCCTAATCTTAAAATGCACTTTGCAGCGAGTAGATAAGTGTGGGATATTCTGTGCATCGTTTGGGGCAAGCACATCTGTCCACTAAGTTCCTAATATTTTAAATTAATAGTTAAAGTATAGAGATAAATATTAATAAGCTGAACACTGCAATTTGTGAATAAAGTTTAAAATTATGTGTACCCTATATGGATAGTTTTTCCAGAAAACCAATGCAGCATCTCACATCACCAGCTCACTACAGCAACATAGAGGTGCTTCCCAACTCAGATACCTGTATGAGAAGAGCAGTGCCTATCCGTTATCCATTGCCTGCAGTAGAAGGGCAGCATCCCCTAACACAGGGGTGGGCAATCTGCGGTCCTCCAGATGTTTTGGACTACATCTCCCTTGATGCTTTGCTAGCATTATGGGAGATGTAGTCTAAAACACCTGGAGGGCCGCAGATTGCCCACCCCTGCCCTAACATCATTAGGCCATCAGTAAAACAGTGTTGTTGTCCCCGGGCCATCGGGTTCCTACAGCAGATCAGTGTCACCCACCTGGCCAAAAGGTAGCTACAACAGAGCAGTCTCACCTTGGCTAACAGGTCCCCAAAGCAGAGATGTGCCCTTGCCATTAGATCCCTACAGCACAACAGCATCAGATCCCTAAAGTATTGCAGAGTGCCCCATTGTCCATGCCCTGAAGCACATCAGCGCTATTCCTCTCCTGTCACTCCATCTGGTCCCTTTTGCCCAAACATTGGGCCCCAAAATCATTTATTATTATTGCCATTTGAATAGCGCCAGCCGATTCCGTAGCGCTTTACAATATTATAAACGTACAGGAACCATAGGTTGAAGAGGACCCTGCTCAAACGAGCTTTCAGTCTAGACTAAAGGATTTACTTCAAGAGGTGTAACAACTAGTTGTCAGATCAGCCAAGTTTTCCTAAACACATGACTTATGCACACTTACAGTCATTTTAGGAAAACCACCACTATGCTGCAGTATGGAGCAATCTTATGCTGCTCCAGGGAAATCCAATTATTTAATAAGGAAAGCATCCCATAGCAAACACCTTTAAAAAGTTGCTACCTTCTTGCAGGACCTGAATTCTACATACCTCCCAACCCTTCAAATTAATATAGAGGGACACTTTCATTTTAGCGGTATGAGTTGAGGGTGCATAACATTTTAAGCATCTTAAAATGGAATTTAAAACAAGAACAATGCATCGTATTTACTGCTGTGGAGCTCTGCTATACACCCAGACCCCCTCCCAACAACATGGAACTCCTAGAAAAGAGAGGCAGAGAGATTTGGGCGCAGGATAGGGACTGTTCCTGCTAAATAGGGACACTTGGGAGGTATGCACTATATCAGGCATAGGCAACCTTCAGCACTCCAGATGTTTCGGACTACACCTCCCATGATGCTTTGCCAGCATTGTGGGTGTAAGAGCATTATGGGGGATGTAGTCCACACCCTCTGGGTTGCCTCTCCCTGCAATGCCACAGCACCAGCACTTTACAGTACAGCTGTTTCCTCACTGAGACCAATAAACTCACCTTCGCCTTTGCCTCTTGTGAGCGCTCCCGGCCGCCGGAGCCATTTCCCCCCAAAACCTCCAACTTCAAACCCGCCAATCATCACCCGGCTCCGTGTCGCACACCTCTGACGTCAGCGCCAACCAGCACGTGAAAGTGGAGCCTGTAGCCACCGCCTGGCAGCCCGCCTCCTCGACCCTCTGATTGGCTGACGTCCGAGTCCTCTGTTTTCCGATTGGCTGGAATGTTCATGATTGACAGGTCAGGCAGCCCAGGATAGTCAGCATTATATAGTCAGACAAGGAGTGCATCTCAGTGAGACCCCCCCAAATGTGAAGCTAATCAGGTGAGTGCTGCTGGGTGTGTGTACATGGTGGATCCTGGGATAAACAAAGTGGAAAATGTCATAATAACATTTATTTCCCAGATCCTGGTAAAGTTATCTATTGACCTAATTTGCAAGGTCACGTGTAACTAGGGTCAGACCCAACATGATCTGCAAGACATAGATCACTTCTTTATGTTAATGGACAGCACATGGAAAGTTATGTCTGTCTATATGTCTGTCTGTGTGTTTGTACAGTACACCCCTGTAAGCTCTATAAGACATTCATTGGAAGATAAAACCATTTAAAGGACCCACTGTAAACCAGAACCCCTACACTTTTTGTAATAGTTATGGAGTATCTTTAAGCCCTTCTCTGTTAATTTTTTTTTTTTTTATATATTTTCATAAAATCTGGCATCCATATCATCTCTGAGATGATGCACAATTTGGCGGCCTCGTTAGATGCACAAATTTAGGCAGCCAAGGTCGTTGCCCCCACCCCCCCAAAAAATGGACTTCAAACGAAGAAGAACCCCTCAGTCAACATGCGGTAAAAGCAAATGAATCCTACATTTTGTCACGTAAATGACAGGGCTAGGACACACAGGGGAGACACTGGATCTACAACCTAATGCATGTTGTACCTTAACAGCATTTTAGAGTGAAGTGCTGTTAAGGTACAAAACGCATTAAAGGTTATATCCAGTGTCCGCCCTTTGTGTCCTAGCCCTGTCATGTACATGAAAACATGTAGGATTCATTTAATTTCAGGGGGATTGAGGTGTTTTGGCATTTGAAGTCAGGTTTTTCTTGTATCATATTGTAAGCCTAGGTGGCAAATGTGAATGCCTCTCCCGATAAATAACGTACGCCACAATTGATAATGCAGTTAATTTATGCATGGTATACTGATCGCCAGTGGAATTGTTGGGCTTTTTCCCCAAATGGTTGCAGCCTGCCTGTTTTGTCATTGAAAACACGAATGGTCGTTGTGAGTAACACTTTAAGATTAAATGGTTTTGGTGCTTAGCGTTACCCTTCACAACTAAACTGAACAGACGAACATCTCAAGCTCAGAAGCTCGCATTGACCGTATGCAAATCAGTTGCTTAGATGATCAGCGTTGTGGTACCCAAGAAATCCTGTTGGTTTATTTAGTCCAGTTTAGAATTATATCAAGTAGATTTTCTAGTATGCATTTTACAATATAATTTATTTCGTAATTATTAGGAATATGTTTGCCAATTGTTATCTCCCTTCTCAAATTTGTGGTTTGTTTGGCTTCTGAAAATTCTAGAGCTAAGGTACGGTAATCATGACTTCCGATGATGGCATGAGCTGGGGTGGGGCATGTATCCTTTACACTATTGTGATTTTCCAGAGGAAATGTGATAACTTGCTCCTGCGAACTTGTGTTGGACACAACTCCAGGATGGAAAATAAGGAACTACTTATCCCATAAACACAATCTGGACAAGCTTTATGAAATGCAATAAGATCCCATTGACCAGAATGAGGTGCCAGATAGACATTTTCTGGTCACAGAGGTCTGTGCAACTTCAGAGACTTTGTTTTTTGTTTTTTTGCAGTGTTGCGTAATTACTTATTGTATTTAAATAATCTGTTGATTATTAAATGAGAACGGAGAGCACTTTTTGTTAGTTAGAACCGCCTCTTTTATACCATCAAGCCAATGTCGCAATTGATCCTTTTTAATTAACATTGTATTTATGCTTCAGCTACAGTTATTCCTTAATTAAAGATGCATCCAGACTTGTCACCCCATCTCCACACTGATGAGTGTAATGTGATCATTAACATGCTGAAGCAGTGTCACCTAGATGTGAGTATTATTTACATGTACTTCTACACATTTAGCATGTTTGTTGTATTGAATAAAATCTTTAGAAAAATGTTCTAGGAACCCTGGCACTTTACCCCCCCCAATCTAAGTAGTCAAACTGTTTTAGAATGTTTTGACTTCTTACCTGCCATTCAATACTGCTAGGAGCTTCTGTTAGCTCTCATGAGGTAAGCCATACAGTGCAGGGCTAGCTCATTGGCAGGGATTATTAATGGTCACTCTCAGTCAACGCGCTAAGTCCGACACCCTTGGGCTTCTGGCTCTCCTTTGGAAGCAGGGCTAAGCATTGGTAAGGCGTTAAACCGTTCTAAAATGGTTTAACTACTTACAATGGGGGTGGCATCAGGCACTCCTGGCACCATAACCACTGCAGCATGTTTTGAGTGTTTATTTAACCCAGACAGAGAACTTCTTGCTCTCTTTTAAAAGTAGTAGAGGCAGGGCAAACTGTCAGGTAGACCCTAGCTAAGAGATAAAAACTTTCTAAACTACAGCGTGCTGTAGTGGTTATAATGTTTGGAGTGTGACTTTAAAGATAGATTTATTTATTTTATTTTTTTCTCGAAGGAGTACAGACCATTGATGATAGCCTCTCCAATGAATGTGGCATTCTCCTCTAGTTGCATATATTTTTCATGACTGGTTGAAGAGTTCCCAGTTGATGGAACAGTAGATCAGAGTGTTTCTAAACACAGCTTCTATAGGGACTGGGCACTTATATAAGACTGTAACGCTTGCCCTAGCTTGTATTTTGACTGTCATTCAGAAAGGGGGGATATTTTTCTCTCAGAACTGAGAACTGTTTTATTTCTACACTTCTGTGAGATTTTAAATTTATATTCAGTGTATTTTTGTAACAAAGAAGATTAAAGGGACACTATAGTAACCAAAATAACATTAGTTTAATGAAGCAGTATTGATGTATAGTCAGTGTTTCCCAACCCAGTCCTCAAGGCACACCTACCAGTCCAGGATTTAGGGATTACCCAGTTGTGTCTAAACACCCTGTAATCCCTAAATCCTAGACTGGTAGGTGTGCCTTGAGGACTGGGTTGGGAAACACTGGTATAGATCATGGTCCTGCAGTCTCTCTGCTCAATTCACTGCCATTTAGGAGTTAAATCACTTTTTTGTTTCTTTTTATGCAGCCCAAGCCACACTTCCCTTTGCTGGGACTGACAGCAGTCTGCATGTAAAATTGGTATCCTTTTTAATCAGACGTAAAAGATTTTATCTCCTGTTCTGTAAATTTAGCCTTAATTACATACAGGAGGCTCCTGTAGGGTCTAGCAAGCTATTAACAGAGCAGGAAATATGAAATTCTAAATTAAACAAAATTTGAATAAAGGAAGTGTAAACATTAGATGACTCTTTACAGGAATTGTTTAGGAAGTCTGTGTGTCACATGCAGTTTAGGAGTTAAAACAAATTGATTTAACTCCTAAATGGCAGAGCATTGAGATTGTAGGGACATATACGCCAACATTGCTTCATTAAACTTAAGTTGTTTTGTGACTATAGTGTCCCTGTAAAGAAAATCAATTGTCTTGCCTCTGTTTTACTGCAAGGAAAGAACAGGTGCTTTTTATAATTTCAAATTTTTTTTTATTTATTTTTTTTGTCATTAACATATTTAAACTATTTTGATTTGCAGAACAAATTTCTGAAATATTTTGGCCAGTGCAATGATATTAATCGAGACATGCTAAAATGCTTAAAAAAAGAGGTATGTTGTACAGTATAACGCTTAGCTAGAAACCATTACATTGTTTTACGTCCTAATTAAGTATCCTAAGGATGCACATTAATCAAAATTGCAATAAAATACTTTTATTTAAAATCACAATATAAAAAATCCACATTACAACATAAAGTGCGTAAATAGCACCATAAAGCACAACAATTCAACCCAAGCCTAGTTCAGAGTAAACACATACACATTGTCAATAAAACCCCTGCCAACGTTCTGGCACATGATTTCAGGGGTGTTGTGTAAGCAACTCACTTGATTTTGAAAAAAAGCATCTTATGTTAAAATGTTGGATGTAGGTTCATTGAATCAATGCTTTCCTATGGGGGCTTCTGTATAACGTGACCGAGTATTAAGTGGTCATTGTCAAGGAAGTGCCTCTAGTGGCTGTCAGGAAGACAGCCACTAGAGGTGTGTTGAACCCCGTAATGTAAATATTACAGTTTCTAAAAAATAAACAAACATGGAAAGATTAAAACTAAAGGACCACTGCACCCAGATCAATTCATTGAGATAAAGTAGCCTTGTTAACTTTAGTGGCTCTTTAATTGTGTGGACTGTAGCACTTTAGGGAGTGCACTATAGGATAGCTTGATGCCTTCCTGCATCTTTCTTTTTGTAAGTACCTTTCAATCACACGCCACATTCAATAAAATAGAAACAACTACTTCAATTTATCTGATTATTTTATCTATATTCTATTGAATCTAGCACATACATTAGTACCTACAGTATGACTTGCTGATGAAACCTAATGGTATATGCTTGCACAGTGAAGTGTGTGTGTGTGTGTGTGTGTGGTGTGCACAGAGAAGATCCATGTAGTAGCAGCACACCGTAAATATCAGTCACTCTGTGAATATGAATGTTTGTTTTTTAAATTTATTTATTTTTATTTTTTTAAATGATATAAAACCTGCAAATGGTTTTGTATACAGAACCAAAAATATTTATGTTGTATTATGTTTAATAGAAAATGATTCTCTGGACATGAATTCCACTCCGTACTCCTTATGCAGCACCATCGATAAAGACCCAATATAGATCTTACTCGTGAATTCGCATAAACTAAATTGTGAATCCACAATAAGAAGTATACAATTATTTTTACAATGATATAGGTATCAGAGCAATACAGAGGTAAGCAGGACAGCAGCAACATCTAAACAAAGCAGCGATTAAAAATATCTTCAGTGCCTTTTATTATCATGGCTGCGCTTCTCCTATACTCTCACCCCACCACTTGCCCTCTTGATCCTATCCCGTCTCACCTTATCAGATCTCTCTCTTCTAGTGCTATCCCTGCTGCCCTTAAACATGCTACTGTAGTACCTATCTTTAAAAAAAACATCTCTTGACCTCCCCTTCTAACTATCATCCCAAATCCCTGCTCCCTTTTCCCTCAAAGCTTCTGGCAAGACTGGTCTTTACCCATCTGACTTGTTTCCTCAAGTCCAACTCTCTCCTTGACCCTCATCAGTCTGGCTTCTGCCCCTCCACTCTACTGAGACTGCTCTTATTAAAGTCACTAACGACCTAATCACAACTAAATCCAAAGGGCACTACTCCATACTAATTCTTCTTGACCTCTCTGCTGCCTTTGACGCTGCTGACCATGTTCTACTTCTCCAAAATCTTCAATCACTCGGTCTCTGTGACCCTGTTCTCTCTTGGTTTTCCTCCTATCTCTCCCAACGCTCATTCAGTGTCTCCTTTTCTAATGATACCTCCTCCCTTCTTCCTGTCTCTGTTGGAGTCCCCAAAGGCTCTCGACTTGGTCCCCTTCTATTTTCTCTTTATACTGCCTCTCTTGGCATACTTACTACCTCATTTGGATTCCAATGTCACCCGTACGCTGATGACACGCAGATATACTTCTCCTCCCCGGAACTCTCCGCTGTCGTCCTGCAACGTGTCACTGCTTGCCTTTCTTCCATCTCTAGTCAGATGTCCTCCCGCTTTTTGAAACTCATTCTCTCTCTAAAACTGAACTCCTTGTCTTTTCTCCTCCTAATACTGATCCGCCTCTCTCGCTCTTCCTTCCAGTTGATGGTACCCACATCAGCTCATCCTTGCAAGCACGTCTTGGTGTTATATTTGATTCTGGCCTCACATTTGAGCCGCACATCCATTCTGTTACCAAATCCTGTAGATTCCACCTTAAAAACATAAACATCCGCCCTTTTCTTACGCAAGATGCTACTAAGGAGCTTGTCCATGCTCTAGTAAGCTCTTGCATGGATTATTGTAACTCTCTCCTAATATTACTTCCCACAAGTCGTATTGCCCCGCTACAGTCTGTAATAAATGCTGACGCCAGACTGATTTTCCTCTCACACCTCTTCTCTGTCAGTCCTTACATTGGCTTCCTGTATCCTATAGGAGTCAATTCAAAGTACTAACCCATACCTTTAAAGCACTGACCAATTTTAGCCCCTCCTATATCTCCTCACTGATCCGCAGGTATGCCCTTTCTCGGTCTCTCCGCTCTGCCCATGAACTTCTCCTGTCCACTGCTCACACCCATACGGGCAACTCACACTTGCAGGACTTCTCGTGGGCGGCTACCTTCCTATGGAATAGCCTGCCTACAACCATCAAGCTGTCCCCTAGTCATATGGAATATGCTGGCGCTATATAAATACCAGTAGTAATAATAATAATTAATAAATGTTGCTTCTAACTGGTGTTGGCTCTTGGACTTTCTATAAAAGAAAACAAAAAAACAGTGCTATTGTGGTCATAGTGCTTGAAGTAACAATTTCAGGAAGCTAGTTAAACACTTGACACCTCAAGGGGCAATGGATAGGAGAAGATATTTAAAGGGGCTAGGTATAAACGTGGAGGGGGGGAATGAAAACCATAAGGGACACTTGTGGGAGTAGGAAGCAACATATAAATGGTGCTATAACTAGACACTTAAAGAAGGCCCAGATGGACACCCTAGGTATTTTAACTGCTTCATCTCGTTGAAGTGGTTATAGTTCTTGGAATCTTCAGTCATCGTCCTGCCCATTCAGTGTTAAATGCCTGAGCGGTAGTGGGAAGCCGTGAGAATGTCAGCTGACCACTTTCCTCCTACCACAGTCAGCATCCAATAGCACTCCAACTTTGTCTTCCAGCCCAAATCCTCATAGGCCAGCACAATTTACACCTGTCTATGCACAGTTTGTTACTGAAGCAGAGCAGGAGTAACAAGCGTTGTATAGAAGAGCAAGTAGTGACCTAATTATTGTTTTGTTTATTTCCCCCTCAGTATGAAACCAAAAGAGATCAAAATCGTGCCAAATCTGAGGCAATGAGACAAAGGCGCCACCAAGCACAAAAAGAAGCCGAAAATTGAAAAAGGTTATGTGCCCTCATAAAATATTCAGCTGCCAACTCTACCTTGGACACATCCCATGTTGACATCTTGTGTTTTTGAAAAAATGATCATAAAAGTTGTTATATGCGCTTCCAATTAATTTTTTTTGTTGCTATTAGTATATTTGTGTGCGTGTGTGTTTGTGTGTGTGTGTATATAAATGAATTTTTTTTTTTTTTTTATATATATATGTGTGTATAAATAAATAAAATATTTGTATAAGTTGGTTTGATGATAGAGCGTTGAAACATTATACTAGGTAAGATTGGATTATTATGTTCCAAGAAGCACATTACATTAACACTCACCCTCAACACATTTACACCACTGCTTTTGCACACACAAGCCGTTCACACATATATTTAGACACATCTCATTCATTCTCTATCAGAACCTCATTACACATAGCTGCTCTGTACCCCATGATCCATAGGAAGCAATTCTTCTGCATCATGCTGTATAGTTTGGGAAATAGCTCCTTGCATCCATTGCTTTCACAGTGGACTACTCTGTGCTCTAGCCTTTTTTCTGAAGATTTATTATTTATAATATTATTTATAAACTGCATTTCCAGTTTACAAATGCATATGGGAATGGTTTTATGTACGGCTGCAGTCTAGCTGTAAACAGAGGACAGACACATGCTTTTTAAAAGACAGGACAATTCGCAATACACAGTGCCAAGACACAAGAAACACATATTAATTCCCGTAATTTTGAAAAACTGAGAACAATAAAATAAAACATATAAAATGACGATTATAAAACCTTGTCATATGATCATTACACATTAGCTTCTAGACAGGCACTAATACAGACACCAAAAGGTGTGCGTAACTGAAATGTTTGATACATTGCATACAGCTGTCCTTATTGCTACACATTGGACGACAAGGAACCCATCTTGCAATTAAGAGCAGGTCATCCTAGACTAAATATATACAAGGGGGGACAGGAGCGCTGCACATGCCCAAATGGGAAACTCTCTCATGAATTATCCCACAGCAGGGTAACCTCCTTCCACCTGGCCCTAACCTTCCGATAAGTAGCTTCACCACTTCTCACTGCAGCTGTGAGATGAGACAAATGCTCTCCTGAGCTTAGAGAAAATAAATGCAAATTCAACTTTTCTAATTAGGACTATTATAATTTTCAGCTCCAGGCCCACAAAACCCGTAATCCAGCACTGATTAGTTTAACATGAACCTTGCAGGTAGCCCGCTACTGAGAATAAACCGAGCCAGTCATGGCCAGAAACCCTTTATGCAACCTAGTTGTCTGCCTAAAAGCAGGCTCCAGAGTCCGACATTGTGCTTGAAGTAAATATTTCAGGGTGTTAGGAAAAGACTCTTCAAGGGGCAAGGGATAGGGGAAGATATTTAAGGGGGCTAGGTGGACACACATTGTGAGTGGGGGGGGGGGGGAAGAGAGCCAAAAGGGACACTTATGAGACTAAGTGGGGCTAGGGAGCAACATTTAAATGGGGCTATAGCTAGACACTTAAAGAAGGCCCACTTTAAATGTCACTTTAGGCATTGTAACTGCTTCATCTTATTGAACTGGTTATAGTCCTTGGAGTTCCCTGTCACCATTTTTATTGATTAACTTTAAACGAGAGTCCCCTGCAGTCCAACCTATCTGTGCTGCTCGGCCTAATGAGAAGGCATTAGACCGAGCGGTAGTGGGAAGCCGTGAGAATGTCAGCTAGCCACTTTCAGCCTATCACAGTTACAGTGAGGTGCTGGTTTCAGATTACACTCTAACTTTTGCTTCCAAACCCCGATCCTCATAGGCTAGAACAATTTACACCTATCTATGCACAGTTAGTTACTGAAGCAGAGTAGAGAAAGCAGGCTGGCTGTGCAAGCAATACCCAATATGCCTGACCGTGATAGGAGTCCATGTGCTGCCTGTGTATATTTTATGGTTGCACAAGGAGCTCATATAGACTTATGGAGTACTGTCAAGTTTCTATAGTCAGACTAAATACTAAACACAAAAACTCCATAGAGGAGACTGAATGACATATTTTATTGCGGTTTGGTTATAAACCGTGACCAGTGGATCTTGTGGCTCAAAACAGTGGATCTCAGGGAAGTGCTGATAAGCCTTATTTTACAACATGACAGGAGGCTTCATATTTTGCATAATCTCTCTTTACTAGCTCCACAGCAGCAAAGAAACACATAGAAAAAAAAGAACCAATCACAAGAAAGTAGGATGTACATGAGCTAAGCACTTCCTCTTTCTTTGCTGCTCCATCAAGCAGACAGGTCAGAGTATTACTCTTCTCCATTACTTTATGTTTCTACTGCTCTGTGCTACTGAATGGAGACATGATGTTGCAGCCTCTGCTAACTGCTCTACAGGATTTCCAGGACATACAGCTCAAGGACTATCTCTCATTCTCCCATAACCTTGAATTGTTTGAGCACAGATTAGTGCTCTCTGTTAGAGCTGTGGCAAGCACTCAAGGGTTCATACCCAGTGTTCCTGGGGTGATTTTACTGCACTGTGCTACTGTATGGATACATGAGGCTACAGCCTCTGTTAAGTTCTGGACAAGATTTCCAGGACATACTGCTTAAAGGACTATCTCCCATAACCTTGAATTAACTGTTTGAGCACAGATCAGTGCACTCCGTCAGGGCCGTGGCCAGCACTTAAGGGTTCATACCCTGTGCGCCTGGGGTGAGCCCCCTGTTATATTTATACTACACTGTGCTGCTGAGTGGAGGCATGCTGTTGCATCCTCTGTTTACTGGGTGAGCCCCAGTCTATTTTATTTGGCCACTGTTAAGATTACAACCCTGTAGGGTTTCTGTGATCATTGCCTGCTACTATTGTAGTCTGATCTGTTTTCCCTGCATCCTACAATTGCCTCCTAATTTTTGCCTTCTACAAGGGTGTCCCATATCATGATAAATCTACATGTCTACTTTTTTGGGTGAGCCCAAATTCTGTGTCACACGAGTTGTCACTATGGAAGATTCCCTGACTAATCCTGTGGGATTTCAGGTCATGATACAAGCAGCGGTGGTGGTCACCGATACCAGCCACCAGACTAGCCAACTACGGGGCGGATTCTGATGCCTTGGATGTCTCCGCTAAGGGGTCTACACCTCACAACAAGCGCCACTGGAATGGCGAAGGCACTAGACCTTTATGGTCTAAGGACAAAGCCTCCGCTAAGCGGAGTGGGCCGACTACAGCACCTGCCCCAACCCCAAGGATAGACCCAGAACATTAAGTTTTTTGGACCCCGGACCCGAACACGGACATATCGCTGTATGTTCAGGTTAGAGTTTGGTGTTCGGCGATTTAATGACGCATTTTGAAAGGCTGAAGGGCAGCCAATCAACAAGCGTTTGACTTTTGTGCCCTTAGAAGCCATCACAGCCATGCCTACTAATGATGACTGTGATCGGCCAGTGCAGCATGTGACCCAGCTAGTAGGGGCATGTCTACTAGCCTGTGGCTGCTCACTGTTGAAAAAATAAATCCCCCCCTCCTGAGCTTTTAAACTAAAGGAGGGACCTATTGCCCCCCCCCGGCCCCCACCCCTGAGCGTCGGGTGGGGGCCCTAAATACCAATAAGGGCCCCCAAGTCACTATGCTTCCAGTCCAGCTACCATGGCCTTAATTTTGAAATTCACTTTGGTTCCCCACCAATGCAGGGCCGGCCCGTCCATTGGTCCCAGTTGGGCCATGGCTCTAGGCAGCACCACTTTAACCTGCTGATAGGGGCCCTGGTCGCCTGGCGCGTACCGCTACATATGTATGCAAACCTGTGCCCATGTTGGTTTACACATTGAAGAGGGGCCCCCGGGGTCTGCAGCATCACCTCCTCTCTTTTCGCAAGCCACGAGAGTGTGACCGGTGGTTACGTTAATAATAAGGTCTGTAACCCAGTCTGAGGAATGCGTTTTCAGTTGTGTTAGGTTATCAACTATTGTCCCCCCCGGCCCCTACCCCTGAGCGGTGGGTGGGGGCCCTAAATAACAATAAGGGGGGGGGGAACCTACTTACCTTCTCCCCCCCCGGCCCACACCCCTGAGCGGTGGGTGGGGGCCATAAATAAAAATTGGGGGGGGGGGAACCTAATGTCCTCCCCCTGGCCCCCACCCCTGAGCGGTGGGTGGGGGCCATAAATAAAAATTGTGGGGGTCCCTTATGTCCTCCCCCGGCCCCAACCGCTGAGCGGTGGGTGGGGGCCCTATATATCTATAAGGGGGGGACCTACTGTCCTCCCCCCGGCCCCCATCCCTGCGCGGTGTGTGGGGGCCCTAAATATCAATAAGGGGGGACCTACTGTCCTCCCCCAGGCCCCCACCCCTGCGTGGCGGGTTGGGGCCCTAAATAACAATAAGGGGGGCTATCGTCCTCCCCCCGGCCCCCACCCCTGAGTCGTGGGTGGGGGCCATAAATAAAAATTGGGGGGTTATTAATGTCCTCCCCCCCAGCCCCTACCCCTGAGCAGTGGGTGGGGGCCATAAATAAAAATTGGGGGGCCCTTATGACCTACTGTCCTCCCCCTCCCGGCCCTCCACCCCTGAGCGGTGGGTGGGGGCCATAAATAAAAATTGGGCTGTTTTTAATGTCCTTCCCCCCGGCCCCCACCCCTGAGCGGCGGGTGGGGTCCCTAAATAAAAATTTGCCCCACCCAAAGAACTTTCCCACGCTGTGTAAAATGACACAGAGCACTCTGATTGGTTAGCTTGAAATCCAACCAATCAGAATGCTCTGTGTCATTTTACACAGCATGGGAAAGTTCTCCATCCTGAGCCCCCACCCGCGATGCGCGAGTGGGGACTTTTAAACTAAAGGGGGGGCCTATTGCCCCCCCCCACCGAGCGGCAGGTGGGGGCCCTAAATACCAATAAGGGGGGAGGACCTATTGTATCCCCCCGGCCCCCACCCCTCCAAAGAACTTTCCCACGCTATGTAAAATGACACAGAGCACTCTGATTTCAAGCTAACCAGTCAGAGTGCTCTGTGTCCATTTACCTTGTGACATTTGGTCCCCCCCCTTATTGTTATTTAGGGCCTCCACCCGCTGCACAGGGGTGGGTTCTGGGGGGAGGACATTAGGTGTCCCTCACTTATTGTTATTTAGGGCCCCCACCCGCCGCGCAGGGGTGGGGGCCGGGGGGAAGACATTAGCCCCCCCTTATTGTTATTTAGGGCCCCCGCTCACCGCGCAGGGGTGGGGGCTGGGGCAGTAAGTCCCCCCTTATTGTTATGTAGGGCCCCCACCCACCGCGCAGGGGTGGGGGCTGGAGGGGGAGAACAGTAGGTCCCCCCCCTATTGATATTTAGGGCCCCCACCCACCGCGCAGGGGTGGGGGCCGGGGGGAGGGCAGTAGTAGTTACTTAGTATTAGTAAATGTGGCTGAAAGACCAATTTAGGTCTTTCAGCCTTTTGGTAGATAGCTCCCTAATACTGTGGGAATTAGGGAGTTATCTACTAAGCGGCTGCTTATTTTATGTATTTTATCTTATTTTAAGTGATTTCCCTATCCACATTTGTTTGCAAGGCACTTGTCCTACTCTTTTACTTCCTTTTGCAGCCCTCTTGCCCTTTTCAGGAGTTTTTAGAGCCATTTTTGTGCCCAAAAGTTCGGGTCCCCATTGACTTCAATGGGGTCCGGGTTCGGGGTCAAGTTCGAGCTCGAACCTGGACTTTTTTCAAAGTTCAGCCGAACCCGCTGGACCCGAACATCCAGGTGTCCGCTCAACTCTAGTTACTGGGACTTGCAACGCCTCATGGTGAGGTTTCATTGGGCGAACCCCACCTACGACCAACCGGACTTCGTTCTGGAGTTGGATACCAGCCCGTGGGGCTGTGGAAACAACCTCCCAGAGTGTACCCACGGAAGGGGGGTGCACAACTCAGGAATTCTCCATTCACTTTGATTGCCTGGAACTCTTAACGGGATCCCTCATTGTCCTGGTGAATGGTTAATCCGTTTGTTGCATCCTACTCTGGATGAACAGAGCGTCGGCAGTCTGGTATATCAATCGCCTGGACGAAGCCTGCTCCCCTCTCCTATCAGACATCACAAAAGGCATCTTTGATTTCAGCATCCCTCACAGGATCCCCCTGAGAGCAGACTACCTCCTGGGGATGACACATCTCACCACAGATTGGTTCTCCCACCATTAGAGGGATCACCAGACTTCAGCGTTCTTCACTTGGCTGCTGGATCTGGAGTGCACAATGGTGGGCGCATTCCTGCAGGCTGGGTCTCCCCTGGGGGCGTACGCTTTTCCCTCCTCCTGATTGTGAGAGCTATTTAGCACCTCTGTGTTCAGCGAGTAACACTGACCTTGGTCACCCTGCTGTGACGGAGCCAACCTTGGTTCCCGGACTTTCTGGTGAGGTTCTACTCCTCCTGCCTTCATACCCGATGCTTCTCACGGACCCTAAGGGAAACCCACACCTTCTACTCCTGGAGAGTAGGCTCACCTTGGTGGCCTGGACTCTTTCTGGGGTTCTTAGCAAATCGGCGGACCATCACAGGATGCTAGGGACCTCTTATGGGCCCCAGAGATGTGACCTCTCCATCTGTGCATTCCCAGTTTGGTTGGTGTTTGGAACAGAACCTCGATCCATTAATGTGGTAGGTTCGGCCAGTTCAACGGCCCCGGTCTGGTGACTGCTGGTGGGATCCTCTTGTATGCCAATTACTCAGTGACATCCACTTCCAGATGAGATGTGGAGATCGTTCTCTGTTTTCTACGGGACTGGGCATCTATAACGGACTTTCTCTCTGACCGTTATTGGTGAAATTTACGTATGCTTGGTCTATTGTCTTTCCATCATGTATCGGATCTTTGGGCGTTACACATGGATGTTTTTTCCTGTTTCCCAGACGGGGTTATGTTCCATGTCTCTCATTGCTCTGTTCGAATTCTTCCTTGGTTTTCTATTCCTTTCTTAGCGTTAAAATTGCAAAATATTAAGCCTCCTGTCATGTTGCAAAATTTAAGATTATACTCGCCTCCTGTGATTACTAAAATTAAGATTATTAGTACACTATGGATTAGGATTATTCACTAAAGTGAATTTTGAATTTAAGAGAAAAAAATCTCTGTCCGCTATGGTTTCAGTTTGACTACTCTGACCTTAAACGTAAAATTCACTTTGAATTGTTGAATAACCCTGTATATGTTTTATTCTCTCTCATGCTCATCTCCAAAGATGATGTGAAAGTCAAGCGGAGGAGAAGGAATTAAGAGGTGGGAGAAACGCTTCTGTTTTTGTTTCATTTTGTGAGTGTACTATGTATCCATTATTTTGTTAGTGGTGTTTATACAATATTATCCTTTTAGGGTTATTTACTAAAGTGAGAGCTGTTGGGAATTCAAAGTGAATTTTAAATTTAATGTCAAAGTGACCAAAGTGCAAAAATTGTCCAAGTCACTATGCTTCCAGTCCAGCTACCATGGCCTTAATTTTGAAATTCACTTTGGTTCCCCACCAATGCAGGGCCGGCCCGTCCATTGGTCCCAGCACCACTTCAACCTGCTGCTAGGGGCCCTGGTCGCCTGGCGCGTACCGCTACATATGTATGCAAACCTGTGCCCATGTTGGTTTACACATTGAAGAGGGGCCCCCGGGGTCTGCAGCATCACCTCCTCTCTTTTCGCAAGCCACGAGAGTGTGACCGGTGGTTACGTTAATAATAAGGTCTGTAACCCAGTCTGAGGAATGCGTTTTCAGTTGTGTTAGCTTATCATTTTTTTTTAATTATATAAGGGTGAAATTACCAAATTGGGTTAAGATGGTTGCCCATTTGGCCTTGTCACTTTAGGGTGAAGCTGTTTATAGTAGTGTACAGTCCTTCACATGTTTGGGTAGTGTGGTAGTACGTGGTAGAAATCCCTTCTGTTGCTGGGCAAGCTAAAAGAGACTCTTCCCTCAAAACAACTTCATCTTAATCAGCTTGTTTTGGGGTGAGGAGTCAGTGTGTTACCTTACCTCGAAACAAATTTTTGATTTGTTTAACTCCCTTTCACAATACCTGAAATTACCTTTATTGGCACAACATCTTAAAAGTAGAAGTTTCTGCATATATCTTGTTTTTATTTTTATGATGCTGTGTTATTAACCCCTTAAGGACCAAACTTCTGGAATAAAAGGGAATCATGACATGTCACACATGTCATGTGTCCTTAAGGAGTTAAAGAGACACAGAGTCAAGGCAAGCTAATGTGTAAAATATATCTAGATTACTTCTTCGAGTCCGGCAAATTTTTATGTTAATAATTACAGCGAGGGGGGAAAAGTATTTGATCCCCTGCTGATTTTGAACATTTACCCACTGACCAAGAAATGATCAGTCTATCATTTTAATGGTAGGTGTATTTTAACAGTGAGAGACAGAATAACAAAAATAAATATCCAGAAAAACACGTCAAAAAAGTTATAAATTGATTTGCACATTGAGTAAAATAAGTATTTGACCCCTTTGACTTAGTACTTGGTGGCAAAACCCTTGTTGGCAATCACAGAGGTCAGAGGTTTGTTGTAGTTGGCCACCAGGTTTGCATACATCTCAGGAGGGATTTTGTCATTAAGGTTTTGAAGTTGACGCTTGGCAACTCGAACCTTCAGCTATGGGATTAGGTCTGGACACTGGCTAGGCCACTCCGGGACCTTAATGTGCTTCTTCTTGAGCCACTCCTTTGTGGCCTTGGCTGTGTGTTGTGGGTCATTGTCATGCTGGAATACCCATCCTCAACCCATTTCCAATGCCCTGGCTGAGTGAAGGAGGTTCTCACCAGAGATTTGATGGTACATGGCCCCGTCCATCATCCCTTTGATGCCGTGCAATTGTCCTGTCCCCATATTAGAAAAACAACCCCAAAGCATAATGTTTCCACCTCCATGTTTGACACTGGGGATGGTGTTCTTAGGGTCATAGGCAGCATTCCCCTTCCTCCAAACACTGTGAGTTGAGCTGATGCCAAAGAGCTTGATTTTGGTCTCATCTGACCACAACACTTTCACACAGTTCTCCTCTGAATCATTCAGATGTTCATTGGCAAACTTCAGATGGGCCTGCACATGTGCTTTTTTGAGGATGGGGACCTTGCAGGCGCTGCAAGATTTTAGTCCTTCACGTCATGGTGTATTACCAATTGTTTTCTTAGCGACTATGGTCCCAGCTGCCTTGAGCTCATTAACAAGATCCTCCCCTGTAGTTCTGGGTTGATTCCTAACCGTTCTCATGATCATTGAAACTCCACGAGGTGAGATCTTGCATGGAACACCAGACTGAGGGAGACTGACAGTTATTTTAGGTTTCTTCCAGTTGCGAATAATCGCACCAGCTGTTGTCATCTTCTCACCAAGCTGCTTGGCAATGGTCTTGTAGCCCATTCCAGCCTTGTGTAGGTCTACAATCTTGTCCCTGACATCCTTGGACAGCACTTTGGTCTTGGCAATGGTGGAGAGTTTGGAATCTGATTGACTGATTGCTTCTATGGACAGGTGTCTTTTATACAGGTAACGAGCTGAGATTAGGAGCACTTCCTTTAAGAGAGTGCTCCTAATCTCAGCTTGTTACCTGTATAAAAGACACCAGTAAGTCAGAAATCTTGCTGATTGATAGGGGATTGTGGCAAACCTAGCCACTTGGACAATAACTAGAGACTGTGCCTTTAAGGGTTGCCAATAGGTCGGGCGAGATATGCGCTTTATACTTATGTATAGGTTCATGTATTTTCTGCGTTACCTGTATTGCTGTGTCCGCCGAATACAAATGGCGGTTTTGCATGGGGATTTCCCTTCGTTTCACGAACGGCACTTTAGAAAGCCGTTCGTGAACCGAACGCGATCCCCCCTAATAGCCCACACACTTAGAGGCGTGTGGCGCTAGTTAACCGATTGCAACATTGTTGCAATCGGTTATTAGGGGCTCTCCTGGGTGGCCGTCGTTCGACTACCGACCATGCGGCGGTCGGCCATCTTGGATCCCTTGTTCGTCAGCGGGTCCGTGTCGTCGAACGCATACCATTACCAATGGTTATTCGACGGCACGAACACCGCTGAGACTCCCAGACGTTCGGGAGTTTCAGGACCAGGTTCACCAAAAGCAATCGGTCCTTTTTGTGGGTTTTGAAAGAAATATGTTTTCTGTGCGGCGTTCGGTTATTTTGGCTGGGATCTGAGCGGCAATCTCACGAATGATGCGCCCAGACCCCAGCTAACTACCGAACGTCCATTCGTGTAAATCCAGCGTATATTTCAAAAGTTATGCATTTTTATATGAATTGCCAGTTCTGCTGCACGAGGGGATAGTCCCCTTTACGGTGCATTCTGGGAGGACGGTCCCTCTCGTGCAGCAGTGCCTGATGGGAGAAATATGTCATACTGTAAGTCCCCCATGTAGTCCCCTCTGGGAGTGCCCCTGGGAAGGGACTCAGGAAACCCCTTGCATGGGGACTTGTATAAATTGTCGTGCCGATTAAAGGATTGTCAGTTGACTCCCAAAACTGTGTCTCGTCCGGTTATTGGGAGGTTGGGGATATTGCCTTGGTGTTTTCAGCGCTTGACTGTGGATTCGTTTCTGGACCAGCGGAATTCGTGGATTTTATATTGGCGTTCCGCTACAATTGGTGGCAAGCGACGGGATCCAACTCTACAGCCGAATACAGCGCATTCGAATGAAAGGAACTACCGAACGGAAAGGCAATTCGTATGAAACAAGCAGACGAAAGCGATCAGTGAATGGGGACTGATTACACGGCGTTAAAGAGACAGACGCTAAAGGAACTGCTGGAGGCTAGAGGGAGAAGCGCTAGCAACAAATCGAAAGCAGTCCTGATTGCAGAACTAATGGAGGGCGACCAGGCACACAGCAGTCCACCCCCACCTGCCAGAGAGGAAACACCATACCAGAGGGAACTGAGAACCCGGCTGGAATTTGTACCACAGCCAGTAACCCTGGAAATTTTAACCGTGCTAATGGCCGACGTCCAGGACTACATTATGGCACAGCAACCCCAGAGGTCACCATCCAGGGCGGAATCCATCGTCAACTCATTCTGCCCTCCAACAAAGCAGAAAATACCGTACCAGGCATTTAAAACATTCTGCGAGGAGAAGGATGAGATAGACGGATATCTGCAGGATTTCGAGAGGCTATGCGACCTGCACGACCTGGAACCGACCATGTGGGTACCCTTACTGGCAGGCAAGTTGGCAGGACGAGCAGCAGAGGCTTACCGCGCTGTGCCCAGAGAGGACAGCAAAGACTACTTTAAAGTAAAAAGAGCAATCCTAGAAAGATATGCCATAACCCCAGAGGCATACCGACGGAAATTTCGGGGATTGAAAAAGCCCGACAGAGATTCCCACGCAGAATGGGCGCATAAGCTGGACCAAGCTTCACAAGGGTGGATTCAGGCAAGTCAAGCCACCACCATGGAGGAACTGCGCCAACTCATCTTGCTGGAGCAATTCTTCAACGGTCTGTCACCAGAGGCACAGGAGTGGGTAAGGGACCGAAAACCTCTCAACCTCACAGCAGCCGCCCGATTGGCAGACGAACACTTTGACGCCCGGAGACACCATGGGCTCACCAACAGGGGTCCCCTAAGACCGCCAATACAACAGCACCCAGCCAGCTCCACACCCGCCAACTCTACCCCCTTCAGGCCACCACCAGGAAACCCCCCACCGCCAGCCCGCTACAATGGCAGGGCCAACATACAATGCCATACCTGCCGGCAGTGGGGGCATATGTCTCGGGAGTGCACACAGAATCGTAGCAGGCAGGCGTGGAACCAGGTACGGCAGAATTCCGTTCCCAGGGCGGCGGCCCATTTCTACCACGCAGAACCTGACCATTCGGAGCTGACAAGTGTACCAACCGAGGAACCATTGGGGGTTCTCTACGAGGTAATGTCTGTGCAAGCCACGGACAACCGGCAGCATCACCGCCAAGTTGTATTTGTGGGAGGGAAAGAAGTGCAGGGGCTGCGGGACTCGGGAGCCACCTTAACCTTAGTGGCCCCCCATCTAATTCCAGATACGGCCCACACTGGCGGATCCGTGGCAGTCCGGGTAGCAGGGGGAGCCATGTACCGGTTACCCACGGCCAAGGTGCATTTGAATTGGGGTGCTGGGGAGGGGGTTGTGGAAGTGGCCATAATGAAAAAGTTACCGGCCGATGTGGTTTTGGGGAATGACTTGGGCCAGATGACTTCTGCTTTTATACCCCAGGCCCCGTCACAAGAGGCGCATCCGGTAACCACCCGGCAACAGGCTCGCACCACGGCATGCTCTGCACACTCTGAGGCTCAGGTAAGAAATCATGACCCCCCCTTGACAGGCATGACTTGGGACACCCCGTCCACGTTCGAAGTGGAGGTGCAGACCGACCCCACACTGCAGGTATACCGGGATAGGGTAGATACGGACCAGGTGGGGCGGGAGGGAGAACAGTACCGGTGGGAGAAGAAGTTACTATACCGGGTGGCGGAAAGGGCAATAGGCAACTCTGTGACGCTCCAAACTAAGCAGTTAGTAGTGCCCCAGAAGTATAGGCAGGAGTTGCTAAGAATCGCCCATGATATCCCTCTGTCCGGCCATCTAGGGATGACCCGGACCCGGTATCGCTTAACGCACGCATTCTTTTGGCCCGGGATTTCTAAAGACGTGAGGCAATACTGTACCTCCTGTGATGTGTGCCAGAGGGTAGGCAAGAGAGGGGACCGCCACAAGGCAAAACTGTGTCCCCTACCTATCATTGAGGAACCATTCAGCCGTGTGGCAGTGGATATAGTAGGACCACTACCAAAGCCCAGCCCCTCGGGGAAACGGTATATCCTGACTGTGGTGGATTACGCCACCCGGTACCCCGAGGCGATTGCCCTAACTAATATACACGCCGAGACCGTAGCTGACGCCTTGATGAAAATATTCTCCCGAGTAGGGTTCCCACAAGAAATGGTCTCCGATAGGGGGACGCAATTCACGGCTGAGGTGACTCAGCAGTTATGGAGGATATGTGGCATTAAGCCGATCATTAACTCTGCCTACCACCCGCAATCCAACGGATTATGTGAGCGATTCAACGGCACCCTAAAACAGATGCTCCGGACATTCGGAGAGACCCATAAGGACTGGGAACGATTCCTTCCCCATCTGTTGTTTGCATACAGAGAGGTACCCCAAGAGTCCACAGGTTTCTCCCCATTTGAGCTATTGTTTGGGAGAAGGGTCCGGGGGCCGTTGGATCTCATTAGAGAGCATTGGGAGGGGGAGAGTAGCGCAGATGGGACCCCAATTGTGCCCTACGTGCTGGCGTTCCGGGATCGCCTGGAGGAATTGACCCAGGCGGTGCGCACCAACCTCCAGGCCGCCCAACAACGCCAGCGTCGTTGGTATGACAAGGGGGCCAGAGACCGTAGTTTTCAAGTGGGACAGAAGGTGCTAATCCTTAAACCGGTCCGCACCGATAAACTACAGGCCGTCTGGCAGGGCCCATACCAGGTGGTAGAGCAGAGATGCGATACCACCTATGTGATCGGCCCATGCTCCGGAGTAGGGAAGAGACGCATGCTCCATGTGAACATGCTCAAACCCTACCACGAGCGGACGGAGGACGTGGCAGCTATTTGCACGCCCGCCTCCGAAGATCAGGAGAACCTGCCCCTTCCAGATCTGTTAGAGCAGGAGGAGCAGAAGGAACCCTCCCAGGGGGTTCAACTGGGGGAGCGGCTAAGTCCTCAAGAGCGTATCCAGGTACAAGAACTGATAGCAACCAAGGGCGCCGCCTTTTCTAACCTACCTGGGTACACTCCACTAGCCACCCACCGAGTAGAAACCCCGGGACAGCTTCCCATGCGACAGACTCCCTATCGGATTCCCGAATCCGTGCGGGAACATATGAGGAAAGAAATTGACGAGATGTTGCAGTTGGGGGTTATTGAGCACTCCGATAGCCCCTGGGCATCGCCGGTAGTCCTGGTTCCCAAGAAAGATGGTACCACCCGGTTCTGCGTGGACTACCGGAGGTTGAACGACAAAACTGTGTCGGACGCCTACCCGATGCCTCGGATAGACGAACTGCTTGATAAAATGGCCAGGGGTCAGTATCTCACTACCATAGATTTGTGTAAGGGATACTGGCAAATTCCACTAGCCGAGGACGCCATCCCTAAGTCGGCGTTTGTCACCCCGTTTGGCTTGTACCAATTTCGAGTCATGCCATTCGGGATGAAGAACGCCCCCGCGACCTTCCAGCGGATGGTGGATCGGCTACTGGACGGGTTCCAGGACTATGCGTGTGCATATCTGGACGATATTGCCATATACAGTCCGACCTGGTCGGAGCACCTACGACACATAGGGGCCGTAATAGATAGGATTCAGGAGGCAGGGCTTACCTTGAAACCCAGCAAATGCCACATAGGGATGGCAGAGGTCCAGTACTTAGGACACCGGGTGGGTAGCGGGCAGCAGAAGCCTGAGCCCGCAAAGATTGAAGCTGTAGCCCAGTGGCCTACCCCTAGGACCAAAACCCAAGTCCTGGCTTTCTTAGGTACCGCAGGGTACTACAGAAAATTTGTACCCAACTACAGTGCCCTGGCCAAACCCCTGACAGATTTGACAAAGAAAAACCTGCCCCGGCAGGTCGTCTGGGCCCCAGAGTGTGAACAGGCATTCCATCAGCTGAAGACGGCTCTGACCAATGCCCCTGTACTGGCAGCTCCCGATCCAACTAAACGTTTTCTTGTTCACACAGACGCCTCCATGTTTGGATTGGGAGCAGTACTGAGCCAGGTCGGAGCCGATGGCGGAGAACACCCCGTAGCATACTTGAGTCGGAAATTGTTACCCCGAGAGGTGAGCTACGCCGCCATAGAAAAAGAATGCCTGGCCGTGGTGTGGGCCCTGAAAAAGTTACAGCCATATCTCTATGGGCAACCCTTTTCTTTGCTCACAGATCACAACCCGTTGGTGTGGCTCAACCGTGTGGCTGGAGACAATGCCAGGCTGCTGCGCTGGAGTTTAGCGCTGCAGCCCTTTGACTTTACAATTCACTACCGCCCAGGGAAACAAAACGGTAATGCCGACGGGTTGTCCCGACAAACAGACCTTGAGAAATGATCTGTGAGCACTCCTCCGGACATCCCCAAGCCGATCCGTTGGGATCAGACTGTGTATGCCGGCTTGGTTCTGGGGGAGCATTGTGGCAAACCTAGCCACTTGGACAATAACTAGAGACTGTGCCTTTAAGGGTTGCCAATAGGTCGGGCGAGATATGCGCTTTATACTTATGTATAGGTTCATGTATTTTCTGCGTTACCTGTATTGCTGTGTCCGCCGAATACAAATGGCGGTTTTGCATGGGGATTTTCCTTCGTTTCACGAACGGCACTTTAGAAAGCCGTTCGTGAACCGAACGCGATCCCCCCTAATAGCCCACACACTTAGAGGCGTGTGGCGCTAGTTAACCGATTGCAACATTGTTGCAATCGGTTATTAGGGGCTCTCCTGGGTGGCCGTCGTTCGACTACCGACCATGCGGCGGTCGGCCATCTTGGATCCCTTGTTCGTCAGCGGGTCCGTGTCGTCGAACGCATACCATTACCAATGGTTATTCGACGGCACGAACACCGCTGAGACTCCCAGACGTTCGGGAGTTTCAGGACCAGGTTCACCAAAAGCAATCGGTCCTTTTTGTGGGTTTTGAAAGAAATATGTTTTCTGTGCGGCGTTCGGTTATTTTGGCTGGGATCTGAGCGGCAATCTCACGAATGATGCGCCCAGACCCCAGCTAACTACCGAACGTCCATTCGTGTAAATCCAGCGTATATTTCAAAAGTTATGCATTTTTATATGAATTGCCAGTTCTGCTGCACGAGGGGATAGTCCCCTTTACGGTGCATTCTGGGAGGACGGTCCCTCTCGTGCAGCAGTGCCTGATGGGAGAAATATGTCATACTGTAAGTCCCCCATGTAGTCCCCTCTGGGAGTGCCCCTGGGAAGGGACTCAGGAAACCCCCTGCATGGGGACTTGTATAAATTGTCGTGCCGATTAAAGGATTGTCAGTTGACTCCCAAAACTGTGTCTCGTCCGGTTATTGGGAGGTTGGGGATATTGCCTTGGTGTTTTCAGCGCTTGACTGTGGATTCGTTTCTGGACCAGCGGAATTCGGGGATTTTATATTGGCGTTCCGCTACAGGGATCAAATACTTATTTCACTCATTGACATGCACATCAATTTATAACTTTTTTGACATGCGTTTTTCTGAATTTTTTTTTTTGTTATTCTGTCTCTTACTGTTAAAATACACCTACCATTAAAATATAGACTGCTCATTTCTTTGTCAGTGGGCAAACGTTCAAAATCAGTAGGGGATCAAATACTTTCCCCCCTCACTGTATCAATACTTTCTGAGCCATGACCAAGGACCGCTCTGTAGATTTTAGAAAGCAATGCTGGTGGTGGTTTATTGCCTTAATGTCTAGTTGTCCAGAATAGTCATATTGAGTTTTGGTGGAGTTTGGTAATTTATCAACCCAACCAAACGTTAAATTGAGCAGATAGATAGACAGAGGATGACTTATGGACTCTTACATCCACAACTTACTACAGCAATTTTGTATTTGCATTTCATGAATAAAAATAATAATAATAATTTTGTCGATGGCACGATGTCACATAATTGTGTCTTTAAGGAAGTTACAGATATCTGGGTCTATTTAATAAGCCACAGTTGGCCTGACTTGACCTCAGATGTAATAATTTTAGGGTGAAAATCCAAGAATTATTACCCTCTGTATTTTATCAAATTAATTGTGAAGAATAAAAACTGCTTAGTAAATAATTCATTTTCTGGGGGTTCCAGCACAAATGAAACAACAAGTTTAATAGATAAATAATTGCCCAAAGTTAGGCATAACCTTTACACAAACAGTAAAACTGAGTAAAGTATCTTGAGTGAGAGTCATTTCACTTTAATTATACCCGCATTTTCACTAATCTAGGCAGTTGGCAATCAGTCACATTAACACAGTGGTTCCCAACCAGTCCTCATGGCCCACCAACAATCCTGGATTTATGTATTTTCCTGTTAATGTTTCCACCTCCATGTGAGATACTGACAAAACCTGGCCTGTTGGGGAGTTAATATCCTTGTTACAGTAGAATTTCTGATAAATGAGGTTTTCCTGCATTATCAATGAATACAGGAGTGGGCTGAGAATCTCTATTCTTTAATCTATCTAAAACATACAGTTTAGTAACAATTTGGTTTCCCAGTAACAGACAAATAAGAAATGAACCAAAGACTATTCAGTCCAACCCAAATTCAATATCTTCTTCCTCTTCCATGAGCCCTATGGGTAAAGAAACGACTTCCACCTTGACCTCTCCTTTGTCCTCTGAAAAGGAAATATCCCACAAAAAGCATTAATCAGGTATGCGGTATTTATCAATATACAGTTCTGACCCCATGCAATATTACAAAATAATTAATTAGTGGTATGGCTAATGCTGTCTAGGCTTATATAATAAATAGTAGAGAACCAAAGGTGTCACTTGAATAGAAAGTGACCACAAGGTTAAATTTCCAATCCACTCTACTAAGAACCTAAAGGAGAAAATAATAATATATAATAAAAGAACTTTATTAGCAATTCTAAAAAGTACTAGGACAAATTAAACCGTGTAGCCTGATAGGAGGGGGAACAGCCCTGAGTGAGATGCTCAATAATAGATAGTCAATAATAAAGCATACCACACTGGTTCCAAACAGGTATGGATTGGCAGTACGAGAACTAACCGAAGAGATAGCAATCTCCCCCTTTATGTGTTTAAGCCCTCATGGAAGTATATACAGCACTGGTTACGACAGAGCCAAGTGTGATCTTCCAGAAGCAAAAACTAAAACGTAAAAGGAATAGTGAGAGATATGCTAAATGGCAAGAAAAAAGCACATAGGAAAAAATATATAAAAAGAAGGGTATATACTGAGAGATAAGTAATAGGGATATAACCAATTAAATCCACCTCTCTAGGGTTACCAGAGGCATGTGGCAAGGGTATCCCTAGGCTCTAGACCTTCAGTCTCATGTAAACACCTTCATGGATATTCTATAACTGATTCTTTAACTATAACTCAAAAAGAACGATCTGATGTAAATTCAGTGATTACCTGAAAATACAGATGAGCTCACATCTACGTTTCCACTTTCTGTTTCATCAACTTTCACATTTATTTCCCCAGAATCCAGTTCCACGATTAGTGGTCTTGATGATCTTTGTAGACTCCTATCCACATCACTAGGTAATATGAGTTCTTTTTGACAATTCATATTCACTGGCTGATCATGCCTTGGTTGAATAAAAGCATTTTCCGTAGAATTCAAATCCTCATTAATCTCTACAGTTCCAATCTCTTTTTCCCATTCATTGTCACTTTCGTCACTGTCACCAGATATCACCTCGATCTTTGGACGATATATTTTCTACAACGAATAAGATGGACATGTAATATAATAATGACTGTTCTACGTAACATCACTGAGATATTATTGCTTAAATATGTGCTAGGTTTATCTTAACGGGTTGTAACAGGTTGAATTGCATTCCAGCTCACATGTATCAAGGAGAAAGGTGGTGATGGTGAGGACATATGAGACTGGCCTACAGCTCTCAGCATGTGAATAAGGAGATCGTATGTTATCCTTCCTCGGTACAAGAATAGTTACATATACACACTAATAAATAATAAACAATCATTTTCAAATAAGGCTCACTTGTTTCTTTTTTCTACAATGTGTTTTATATTACCCTTCATTAAATATTGTAAGGCAGGAACCCACTTTATGCACAGTCTGTGAACATGTTTTATTGCGCATAATGCAGCATTTTTTTACAGCTAGGTTTTATGGGTATGAATTAAGTACAGGCAATTATGGCAAGTAAAGGAGCCGAGCTAGTTTTAAAAATCAATGTTGATTTTTCTTTTGTAACATGTTTTCTAACCTATGATGGCATTTTTAACCTGGATTAGTGAAGGGTTAATTTATTAACGAATTGGGTCACTTGCTTGTGTTTGAAAGTATTTATCACTGATTTGTGGGTGATGTGAAGCTGTTGATGAAGGCATGATTTGTAGGTGGTCTGTCCTGTCCCCCCCTAAGTGGATTGGTTCCAATGTATCTTTGACATATCTGCCTATTTTGTGATTTTTGAGAAATTGGTCTATTTGTAATTGTTATATTACTTTGTTTAATAAATGTTTTTTGTAAATTAACCACAATATATGTTTGATCAGTGAAGTGCATAAACCATATATTTTCATTTTAAAAAGAATAAAGGAACATTATAGCGTTAGGAATATAAACATGTTCCTCTACTTATAGATGGATGTGAGAATTGAAAATGTGATTTTACACATCTTACATCTTGCAGAGCAATGGTCTCTCTGCCTCATTGACTGAGTTCATTGATCTTGATATTCTCAGCATATCCAATGCTTTTAAAAATTTTGCAATAAATCAAATAGTCTCTATAAGACTTTCAAATTGAAAGAGCCAAGTTTTACTTGGCTATTTCAGCAGAAGCGCCTCCAGTGGCTGTCAGTGTGACAGCCACTACAGGCATTATAACCCTGCAATGTCAAAATTGCCGATCCCCCTGACCAGCAATGTTTCCAGTCACAGGGTTAAAATGACAGGGGCATGGCACCCAGACCACTTCATTGAGATTAGGTGGTCTGGGTGCCTATAGTCTCCCTTTAGCAAGGTGTTGACATGTGATAAGATTGTGGACCTCCAAAGCTGCTTACATTTTAATTATGACAGTACATATTGATATTAATAATATATTGAGATCTAAAAAATATCCTTGTTTTAAAGATGGCCCAGAAGAAATAATTATATTTAGGTAAGGCAATGTATTGTTCATATCATTAAAAACTTTTTTCAGATAGCTGAATATGACTCTTTGATCTGCATTGTAACAGCAGATATCAGAAAGCTTGTTAATTTCAGTGAAGTTGTTTCAGCTTGTATTCACCTTATTTTATCACAGGTCTTCTGAAAATAATCTCAGTGCTGGGTGCTATTACTTGAGATTGCACTTGGTATCAATGATGTTCTAAACAATTCTTTATTAGTAAGAACATTTCATATGTTGATGGATATGACAAAGACTGAAAGCCAAAGTGTAATATCATCATCATCCCGAAGAACTCTCTGCTCTGACCAAATAACCACTTTAGAACTCTACCTCTAAAAGTAAGCATTATGACTGATAATAGTGGTACATTTTGCCCCGGGCTGCTATGATGAAAAATTAGGTCCATTATTATTATTGGCTCTGTTCCTGGGTCATTTAACTGGGCTATTCTCCATGCGTTTATTACGATACTGCTTGTAACATTAGCACCAAATATACCTGGTCAGTTTTTATGTTGTCATTTGTAATGAGCTCATCAACATCCACTTCCTCCAAGTCTGGCAAATCCTAAACAAGACAGAAAGAAATGAACATCTTGTACAATACTAATACAGTTACATGTCAACAAGTAAGGGCAAACAAATGTGGAGCTACAAAGGCTTGCCAGGCTAAGACACTGTCAATTTATAATCATACATGATTATAAATGTCAAATTATGGGAGGTGGCACTAGGGAGGATAACTATAATGGGATTGTATCAGGATTGGGCATGTAAAAATAACGAACTAAGTAACTCTGATCCAGGTGCTACTTGCATCAATATAAAGTTTTGCAGATGTGGAATCCAAGTGAATAGTTTCAATGTCCTCTGCATCTTTGAGGTCTGTAGTGAAGGCACCTTCCCTGGTCATCTTAGCTTGTGACACTAGAAAAATAAGAATTACGAAAATGAAGTACTAGATAAATGGCACTTTACAAAGAGACGATGATTAGAGGATATATTAATGAAGGAAATTGTCATGCCATGTGAGGAGGTAGCATCAAACTGGAAATTAAGATTGAGCATTAGTGAATCTAATTTTTAAGTAGGGGTTTAGGAAATTAAATAATGCCAGCTAATATGAATGAGAAAGAAAGAGGCAAATATTAATATAACAAGACAAAGAATGAGAAAATAGGAAGACAAAGGATGGGAAGGGAATATGAACACTAGGATGGGAAGGGAATATGCAAAGGATGCTCTTAGTATATTAGGTAAGTGTAATAATAAAAAGGAACATGGAAATTCGATCAAATTTGGATAAAGAATAAAAAGTGAGGTTTAGAGAGGCAGAAAGAAGAATGTGGATTATAATATCCTAACCAATTTCTAAAAGTGTCAATATATTTTGAAATCTGAACTTTTATGAATGGGAACAAGGGGGCATGCAATTAACCCTGAAGTGCTTTAGAGGCAGAAGTGTTTCTCTAGAATTCACTTTGGATTTCCAAAATTTAGTGAATAACCCTAAAAATAATACAATCAAGGGGCACAGAATGGGCAGAGATGAGCAATGTCAACATATGGAAGATCGATCAGAAGAGTAATAAAATTTCAAGAGAATCAATTACACAAAAGAGATAACAGATAAAGCTATCTCTGGACAAGCAATAGCCAGTCAGATGAAGAGAGAAGAAACAAATGGAATGTGTAGTAGATTTGGAGAAATTCATGCCGTAAATCTGACAGCAACTATATTGTCCAAGAAAGGCCCGTCTTATCTACCTGGATTATCTAAGAGTGACTGGAAATAAATACAATGTAGCAGATATAATAAATTATGTTGGATACCTTCACTTATAATGTCATTGGTGAGTGCGGTCTGTGTATCCAAAGTACATGAATTTTCCTTGTTACTTTTTGAATTATTTCTTTGTTGATTTTCTCCCTCGTCCTCTGATACGCATTCTGTCTTTTCACTAGGTGGAACCTCATCCGCCTTCTCTTCATCTTTAAGCGGTGTCTGGATCAGCACAGAAGGCAATGATGTACTGTCTGCTCTCTTTGTATTTTCACAAAGCTCTTCATTGGCTCTAAAGGCATCCTCCACAAATGTCTTGATCTTCTCTTTAGACTCTTTATTTCTGCAAAGAATTTCTTGGTCCTCCAAACCTGCCGTGTCGTCTTCGGGGAGTGGCCCTGAAAAATAATATGAGTATGGTGCATCCATGACATTTTATAATTCTGTGCCCACAGTGATATTATATCATTAAAGAATCTACATTAAAGGCAAAATCTTAACAAAGCATCACAGGTTAGATAGAGATTCTTTCATTTGCAAAATATTACTCTGAACTGTAGTACTAAGTGTCTAAAGGCAGCTCCAACAATGCTAAGATTAGAATACCATAACATTTGCTAAGCATTATGGGAATTATGGGGACTCTACTATAGCCAAGGCAAAGTGTTGCTTGTCATTCCTCTAATACATTTTAAAAAGTAAGCAGTATTATTAAGTAAACTCACGTTCTTCTCTTCTATAAATAAATTTGACATGTTTGATAAAGGAAGAATTAGCAAAATAGGTTCAAACCACAAGAGACACTGACACACGGTAACACTGAGTGTTTATTTCCCTTTATACTAAATATACATCTTAGTGTTTTCTGGAAATAAAGTCCCAATAATAAGGAGTGTCCTATGGAAAGTTTAATTTCACATCCCAGAAGACATTGGTATTCTATCTGGAACAGCTAGCTCGATAACAGATTGATGTGGTTTTCACAAAACCTTATTATAGCTCTATGAATAAGCCAAGGTTTGCAAAATACAGCCAGTGTCTCAGGTAGTGTAAAACTAACATTTTCCTGGAGAAGCCAAGGACTCTTTTGAGGTTGATTTCTAACGATGTGCTATACTAGAGTGACATTGCTATCTCCTTACTATGAGTTACTATACAAGGTTAGGCTGCTTTATTCACTATGGCAACCCAACACTGACATTACAGTATATTTAATGTGAACCTGTCATCTGAAGAAGGTGTAAGTGATAAGGTCAGATTGCCAGGGGAACATTTAGAGTAAGAGCTATATTTACTCAAAGTAAAGAAACTCAACCGATACCTCTTTTCCACCGCACAGAGGAATTATTTAAAAACCAAGCCTAACAAAGCAGTTATCTATATATATGCTAACAGTTTGGATACAATTTCAATAAATGTACTTTATTTCCTTACTCAAAGTATTACTTACAGATCCATATTTTAGGAACTAGTAAATGAAATGCTGCCATGAGTACCTTTCTCCAAATCTTTCTGGTTTCTTCTCTCCTCTGCTTTTCTCTTAATCTCAGATAAAGCGTCAAGACTGTCTTGGATCTTCTTCCGTTCTCTGGTTTCCCATTTTTCTCTCTCTTCCTTTTCAGCTTCGCGACCACCTGTAGCCCAGGCTTCAGCGCATGCTCTATAGAAGAGACAGTGTTTACAGTACAAAAAAAATAAAATACACAACACGAGAAATAGACAGCTAGTACCAAAATAGTCCAATAAAACAGGTTTCATTTTGACTAAGCATTCCGTTTTACTACATGTCATTACCTGTCTTTTGGAAAGACTGGCCTATCATCCAGATATGTCAATTCTTTTAATTGGACGGTGACCGTCTTTCTGTAATTAGGAATCCTCCTGATAACATCATTTCCCAAAAGGTTCAGTACATGCTATAGGAAAATAATAAAAACAGGACACATATGAAGGAGGTACGTGTCATTTTTTATAACAATAAAAAAAAAAAAATAGACAACTTGCACCAATGTACTCTGCTTACTGTCATTCGCAGGTTTATTCAATAAGTGTGAATTGTCATTAAGACAAAGAGCATTTTAAATTTTAAGCAAAATAGCCAAGCTGAGAACATAGGCTACTTGGATAATTTTTCTCCTAAAGTTTGAAATTCACAAAACTTCAAGCTTTAGTGCAATCCCTGATAGTGTAGCAGGGGTTTATTGAATATGTACAGCAGATGCATAAAAATGCAATCAACCATCTTGAAGTGGATTAATTTACTAAAAATAAGTGGAACTGCTTGTGTAAGTCAATTAAAGCTCACGTTTATTTTAGTAAGTGAAATCAAAGCAACCAGATGTATTCCACATGGTCTGTGGTTCTATGAAGTTCTGCAGGATAATAAATACGAGAGTAATGTTTTCCATAAACTCTTCGATAGTTTTCCCATAGGAACCGGACCACTTCTACTTTAGAATGGGATGTCTCTTGATGGAAATAGCAGTGGTGGTCGCAATTTTTGCAATAATAAAAAACAAACATAGAAGAGTCAGCATGCTATTTTGCGCAGTATTCTGTGGAAAGCATTTTTACAAATGAAAGTATCCCTTTAAAAACACACACACAAAGCTCACACCCTGTGCTAGTGTCAAACCACCGTCCAAGTGCCCCACTGGGACAGCACTAACCATAAACATTACCCTCACCATAGGCACAGATAACATCCGCGATATGACCAGCCACCCTATTATACTAAAAAAATGCAGAGTCTATTTCAGCCCAACTTACAGGAAGATTGTAATGTTATTGTACCTCGTGCATATGCTGTTGTGGCATTCTTATATATGTCTGTATCATTACCATTGCACCAAAAATAAAGAATTAAAAAAAAAACAAAACACACATTTGTTATAAAATTAGCAAGATTTTTTTATTCGTTATGCAATGTGTGCATTTCAGCGTGGATCTGTCACTTACTAAGTTTGGCATTTTCGCCAGAATATTTATAATTGCAGGGTCCTGCAGTTTATTATGAGATAGATCCAGGACTCGGATGTAGGGGCATTCCTGAAGGTGCTCTATGTCTTCTATGGTTTGCAGCTGGTTGTGGGCAATTTGCAAGGTGGACAGAACTGGAAGACACGCTGAAACAGACATCGGAACAAGAACTACGGTTAGAAGAGCAACAAGACTTTGAAGTTCATTCTTTAAACACTGAATTATTGTGAATTGTAAACCAAATTGCTAAATTCAGGAAAATATATTAAGGGAAAAATCTCCAATTTAGCTATAATCACAGTATGGTTGTTTTTTTTACCTAAACTTTGCAATTATATTTTTAACTCCCTATATTTTGGCACCTAGTGAATAAATCCCATACACCCTTTGGCCCTCTTTCTATATGAATTTTCCCCCTTATAGTTTGTTAAAGGGACACTCTAAGCAACAAACTAACTACATTTTAAAGGGACACTAACCATTTCATCTCTTTGAATTTGTTATAGTGCCTGGAATCCACAGGGCCTGACCCCCCTCTCCCACTCAGTTTTAAATCATTTAGCACAGTTTAACACTAAATAAGAGTTCCTGACACCAATAGTCTTGCCCCTTCTGGAGGTGTGGCTAAGGCAGAGATTACACACTTCCTTGTAATCATACACTTCATACAGTCAGTTGGAGCTCTGATTGGCTACAAACAGTCAGCTGACACTCTCAACCAATTATATATCTGTAATACTCCTCATTTCTGATTAGATCGTTGCTACTACTGCATATATTTGACCTGTAGGATAAAACAGTGCAGACTCACACAGGTTTTCAATCGTCGTGATGTAGTTATTTGACAGGTTAAGAGAGTCAAGCTTCTGCAGGTTTTCAAGGTTCTCAATTTTGTTGATAATATTTTGATGCAAGAAGAGACATCTCAGTTCTGTCTGTGCATTCAGATTTTCTATCTTTTGCAGGCCATTACATTCTAGCCAAAGACACTTCAAACCAGTGTATTCCTCCAAATTTTCTATATGCATGAACCCTGGTTGAAAGTAGAGGAAGTCGTAAATGTACAGGGGACAACCAATGCATTATGAAAAATCCGATATCGTTTCCATTTTTCTGAAACCTATTAACCATATTTCCTACTTCCTACCAACCTTTGTAATGAAGATATAATGTGTCATTTAAATAGGGAGTGATGTATAATTTATGTTGCTTGCAGAGATCACGCAGGAACTTTTTAGTTATCCTTAAATAAAAAAAGCAAAAAAATCTAGTTTAAAATTTCAAAGTTTGTTGAAATATTGAAGGGTTGATATATGTCTCACCAACAGATGTAAATACTAATAATCTAATCATCTTCACCCAGGTCTCATCTGTCTTTGATGAATAACTTGTGGGTGACAGGAGGCATATAGGTTAATGGGGAATATAGTTCTATGAGGTTGGAATAGGACAAGAATAAAGAAGGTGGGCTTGAAAGAATAGATATATGTAGAAAAAAATGTATATAGTAAGTATACAGGGAAGAACGAGCATTCAGATAGTCAGGGCTTGCTAGGTTTTTGAAATATATCTGTAAAGGTAAACATAAAGGTATATTTTGCAAAGGTAAACATGGGACCGTTGCTACTTATATCTTTTGGACCGTTGATACCAATATCTTTTGTGGCAGTGCCATTTACGTTTTGCCGGACAGTGTCTCCATAAAGACAATCTCTGGGCAACGCGATATGGAAAGTTACCAAGTTTTAAAGTGATTTTCAAATTTAAGGTCAGAGTATTCAAAGTGAAAGCATAGCTGACTTAGAGAAAATTTCCATTTTTATTATTTTGACCTTAAATTGAAAATTCACTTTGAATTCTCAATTTAGTAAATAAACCTGAACATTATAGCATTTTTTTCCATAAATATTCTCTTCCATCTCCAAAAAATCCCCTTCTTTGTGCTGCATGTTTCTCATCCTTTATAATGTTTTACCTATAATCTTTAAGACTCTGGAGCTGCTTGAACTTTATAACAGTGGCAAAACGTCATGCATTCTACAAACATATATACCAGGGGTGCCCAGATGTTTTAAAATTACAGCTTGCATGATGCTTTGTCAATCTAAAGGCATTCCAAAGTCATGCAAAGTATCATGGTTGTAGTTGTAGTTCTACAACATCACGGGATCTACCTTTTGGGCACCCCTGATTTAGACACTTTACCATTGAAAACCATCTTATGCAAGGAGATTTATTCAATAACAACTTGAATAATAAAATTGCATAATTGCTTTTACCCTAACTGCATATGGGGTGTGATCTCTAACAAGTAGGGGCACTCCCTGCCTTCTGTTACAAGTTATGTTCATTGTATGTGAATCCATTAAATGACATAGAAAACCAGTGTTTCACTTACAGCCACTTTCCTGTTAAAGTGTATTCATTCTCAGGTTTTATAACCCCATTAATGCTTTCTAGTCCATCAGGACACAAATATACATTTACTGAATCTGAAGTCTTCTTCTGGGATTATTTTTATTTTCGCACCAATGTATAGCTACTTCGGAATGCCACAATCCCATACAGATGAGGCCCATGTTGCCTATTGGCAGAGAAGGATGGCAAGATGTTCCCACATACTCAACTTCAGGATGCACCGGTCTTTCTTCAAGCACTGGGGGGTACCCCAGATTCACCTCCCTCGCAGGGACGCAAGTCTTGGGCGGTCGGTGCAATCTCACCATTTGTCCCGTACAGGCTATAGCAAGGACTGCGGACCCTCAGCTTGAATCCGTCCAAACTTTTTTGTTTCATGTTTTACGACATATTGCATTTGGTTTGCTTTATTTCCACGACTCTCCAATCTCTACCCACTCTGGTTCCATTAGCTGTACTATATAGCACCTACTCTGTTGTCATAACCCTACTGCCTCCCTACTTGTGCCCGTTTTCCTGTAGATTTCATAATCCTTTCTGGGACAGCCCATGGCACACTTCTTACAATTCTCACATTGTTTCAGTGAACAAAAAGTTTTAAGACCATTATTATTGTTAATTTTTATATATTTTGTCTTTAATATTTTACAAAACCTCAGTTCACACGTACTTATTTGATGAGCTATTTGCTCTACACCTATTGTAATTTATTGCTTAAAGCCAGTTATTACACATTGCACCTGTAACGACTATGTGGCGCCTTTGTCTTGCATAAAATGTGACCTGAGCAAAAATAAAGAATAATAATAAAAAAATAATAATATATATATATATATATATATATATATATATATATATATATTGTGATAAAGTGAAGGCAGATAGGCCCTTTAGCCCCAGGGGAAGTACGTGTAGCTTGTGTGTTGCACAAAACAAAGCATTGTTTAGTTATGGGCCCCTGGGGTGGAGCATTTGGAGAGAAGGGTGGGCCAATGCTCCACTCCACATTTTAGTGGTTTTCTGGGGAGACATAGCTCCAGGCCAGGGTTTTTTGGACCGTCTCCAACCCACTGCTCAGCTGCAGTTAATGAGCTATTGCAGTGGGAATAAACCCCTCCCGGCTAGGCAGGAAAAGGAGAGGGATTGCGGGCTTCCTCCCAGGAAGCAGGTAGGAGAGAGGCTGTTCTCTCCAGATACAGAGTCAAGGAGACTAGGCACTGGGAGTGCAGAAAGGAAGCAGTCAGGGCAAGGGTAAATACTGGAGTGCTGAGAGTGGACAAAGACTCTAGGTTGGTGAAACCAATATTGTTTTGTTTAGTTTAACCCTGAGAGATAGGGAACCTAATGTCAGTTAGTGCTCAGGCGAGCTAGGTTTTTGTTTATAGGGTTTTGTGTTACATTTATGTTTTCATTTACTGCCGTATCCTGTGTGGATTTGCAAATAAAGTGCCTGGAGTATACGCAATTACAAGGACTGTGCCTATTGTTTACCCTAGAGGACCGTGCTACCTGCTGACAAGGATCACAAATATATATATATATATATATATATACACTGCAGGCCTACTCCTTTAGCACTTTGGTTGCGTCATTCTTGAACCTTGCCCATATATTGCATATCCATTCACACAGATATTAGAGCACATGTAGGTAAAAAAGAAAAACAAAATGTAAGCAAATTCCACAAATTCTGTTTTTAACCCTTTCATCGTTGCCTATAATTCTTTAACAGTTGACATGTCTCAAGTAACTAGGTTTATGCTCACATTACTATTCATAGTTTAAACTTAACAAATATTTATTGGAAAATAAAAGTTTTTAGGTTCAGATGAGTCGACACAATGATCACCTGGGGCCGCTCTCCTTCTCCTTTTTGGTATTTGGTGGACAGATCTGTCCCTCTTGGTTCTCAGTTTCTGGCTTGGTCGTTTTATCTTAATTGAGAAAAAAGACAGAATAAAAATCATGAAGTCGATCGCATTTTCTTGCACTGATAGGTATGTAGCAAGGGATTGTACACGGAGGGGTGCAAGTGCAACAAGACAATCAAATGGTCTTGGCCTTCGCAAGTCACAATCTATAATGAAAGGTATTAGCAGTGGTCTTGTGGCTGTACATTCCATTTCTGTCTCTGTTAATGAGGTCTCTGGACTGTGCATAACTTTCTAACTTTGTACTAGGATGGGTTTCATGGATGTGCAAGTAAATTGACTCTGGGTGGAGGTTTCAGGACTGTGCAGATCTGACTGGTGGGATCTCAGGGCTGTACAGGCTCTCTGACTCGGTATTGTGAGGTTTCCGGGCTGTACAACTCTCTGACTCGGTATTGGTGGGGTCTCAAGGCAATACAGATACTCTCTGACCGTGTTTCAGGAGGGGTCTCAGGGCTATATAGGCACTCTCTAACTCAGTATTGGTGAGGTTTCAGGGCTGTGCAGGCAGTCTCTGACTCCGTGTATTAGGAGGGGTCTTGAGATTGTGAGAGTACCCTGACTTGGTATTGGGGGGAGGTAACATGGCAGTGCAGGATCTTGGGGTTCAGAAGGAACTATATCTATCTATCTATCTATATTAGGGGGATCTCTGGGATGGTCAGTCACGCTTTGATTCTATATTAGAGGGGTCTCAGTGCTGTTCGGTCACTCTCTGACTTTATATTAGGGGGTCTTAAGGCTGGTCGGTCATTCTGTGTCTCTATATCGGTCTCAGGACCGATCGGTTACTCTCTGACGCTATTTTAGGGGAGGGTCTTAGGACTGGTCGGTCACTTTCTGACTCTATATTAGGTGGATTATTGGGGTTCAGGCAGGGACTCTTTAATAGGGGATTTCAGGGCCGGTCGGTCGGTCGCTCTCTGATTACATACTACATAATATACTCTATATTACGTTGGATCTTGGGGTACAGGCACTATCTGACTCTATACTAGGGGTCTCAGGGCTGGTTGGATACTCTCTAACTCTATATTAGGTTGGATCTTGGGTTTCTGGCACTATCTGACTCTATATTAGGTTGATTATTGGGGTTCTGGCACTGACTCTGTATTAGGTTGATTATTGGGGTTCTGGCACTATCTGACTCTGTATTAGGTTGATTATTGGGGTTCTGGCACTGACTCTGTATTAGGTTGATTATTGGGGTTAAGCACTATCTGACTATATTAGGTTGATTATTGGGGTTCAGGCACTATCTGACTCTGTATTAGGTTGATTATTGGGGTTCTGGAACTATCTGACTCTGTATTAGGTTGATTATTGGGGTTCGGGCACTGACTCTGTATTAGGTTGATTATTGGGGTTCTGGCACTCTCTGTATTAGGCTGATTATTGGGGTTCTGACACTCTGTATTGGGGTTCTGGCACTGACTCTGTATTAGGCTGATTATATAGGGTTCTGACAGTGACTCTATATTAGGTTGATTATTGGGGTTCTGGCACTCTCTGACTCTGTATTAGTGGGGTTCTGACACTGACTCTGTATTAGGGTGATTAGTGAGGTTCTGACAGTGACTCTGTATTAGGGTGATTATATAGGGTTCTGGCACTCTCTGTATTAGGGTGATTATTGGGGTTTAGGCACTCTCTGTATTAGGGTGATTATATAGGGTTCAGGCACTCTCTGTATTGGGGTTCTGACAGTGACTCTGTATTAAGGTGATCATATAGGGTTCTGGCACTCTCTGTATTGGGGTTCTGACTCTGTATTAGTGGGTCTGTATCAGTGACTCTGTATTAGGGTGATTATATGGGGTTCTGGCACTCTCTCTGTATTAGGGTTCTGACAGTGACTCTGTATTAGTGGTGTCTGTATTAGTGGGTCTGTATTAGTGGTGTCTGTCAGGGTGACTCTGTATTAGTTGTGTCTGTATTAGTGGTGTCTGTATCAGTGTGATTATTGGGGTTCTGGCACTCTGTGTATTAGGGTGATTATATAGGGTTCAGGCACTCTCTGTATTAGGGTGATTATATAGGGTTCAGGCACTCTCTGTATTAGGGTTCTGGCACTCTCTGTATTGGGGTTCTGACTCTGTATTAGTGGGTCTGTATCAGTGACTCTGTATTAGGGTGATTATTAGGGTTCTGGCACTCTCTGTATTAGGGGTGTAGTGGTGTCTGTATCAGTGACTCTGTATATTAGGGGTGTCTGTATCAGTATCAGTGGTGTAGTGGTGTCTATCAGTATCAGTGGTGTAGTGATGTCTGTATCAGTATTAGGGGTGTAGTGGTGTCTGTATCAGTGACTCTGTATATTAGGGGTGTAGTGGTGTCTGTATATTAGGGGTGTCTGTATCAGTATCAGTGGTGTAGTGGTGTCTATCAGTATCAGTGGTGTAGTGATGTCTGTATCAGTATTAGGGGTGTAGTGGTGTCTGTATCAGTGACTCTGTATATTAGGGGTGTAGTGGTGTCTGTATATTAGGGGTGTCTGTATCAGTATCAGTGGTGTAGTGGTGTCTATCAGTGGTGTAGTGGTGTCTGTATCAGTGGTGCAGTGGTGAAGTGGTGTCTGTATCAGTATTAGGGGTGTAGTGGTGTCTGTATCAGTGACTCTGTATATTAGCGGTGTAGTGGTGTCTGTATATTAGGGGTGTCTGTATCAGTATCAGTGGTGTAGTGGTGTCGGTATCAGTATCAGTGGTGTAGTGGTGTCTGTATCAGTATCAGTGGTGTAGTGGTGTCTGTATCAGTATTAGGGGTGTAGTGGTGTCTGTATCAGGGGTGTAGTGGTGTCTGTATCAGTATCAGTGGTGTAGTGGTGTAGTGGTGTCTGTATCAGTATTGGGGTGTAGTGGTGTCTGTATCAGTGACTCTGTATTAGGGGTGTAGTGGTGTCTGTATCAGTGACTCTGTATATTAGGGGTGTAGTGGTGTCTGTATATTAGGGGTGTCTGTATCAGTATCAGTAGTGTCTGTATATCAGTGGTGTCTGTATCAGTATTAGGGGTGTAGTGGTGTCTGTATCAGTGACTCTGTATTAGGGGTGTAGTGGTGCCTGTATCAGTGACTCTGTATATTAGAAGTGTAGTGGTGTCTGTATCAGTGACTCTGTATTAGGGGTGCAGTGGTGTCTGTATCAGTGACTCTGTATTAGGGGTGTAGTGGTGTCTGTATCAGTGACTTTGTATATTAGGGGTGTAGTGGTGTCTGTATATTAGGGGTGTCTGTATCAGTATCAGTGGTGTAGTGGTGTCTGTATCAGTGGTGTAGTGGTGTCTGTATCAGTATCAGTGGTGTAGTGGTGTAGTGGTGTCTGTATCAGTATTAGGGGTGTAGTGGTGTCTGTATCAGTGACTCTGTATATTAGGGGTGTAGTGGTGTCTGTATCAGTATCAGTGGTGTAGTGGTGTCTGTACCAGTATTAGGGGTGTAGTGGTGTCTGTATCAGTGGTGTAGTGGTGTCTGTATCAGTATCAGTGGTGTAGTGGTGTCTGTATCAGTATTAGGGGTGTAGTGGTGTCTGTATCAGTGACTCTGTATTAGTAGTGTAGTGGTGTCTGTATCAGTGACTCTGTATCAGTGGTGTCTGTATCAGTATTGGGGTGTAGTGGTGTCTGTATCAGTGACTCTGTATTAGGGGTGTAGTGGTGTCTGTATCAGTGACTCTGTATATTAGGGGTGTAGTGGTGTCTGTATATTAGGGGTGTCTGTATCAGTATCAGTAGTGTCTGTATATCAGTGGTGTCTGTATCAGTATTAGGGGTGTAGTGGTGTCTGTATCAGTGACTCTGTATCAGTGGTGTAGTGGTGTCTGTATCAGTGACTCTGTATTAGGGGTGTAGTGGTGCCTGTATCAGTGACTCTGTATATTAGTAGTGTAGTGGTGTCTGTATCAGTGACTCTGTATTAGGGGTGCAGTGGTGTCTGTATCAGTGACTCTGTATTAGGGGTGCAGTGGTGTCTGTATCAGTGACTCTGTATCAGTGACTCTGTATTAGGGGTGCAGTGGTGTCTGTATCAGTGACTCTGTATTAGGGGTGTAGTGGTGTCTGTATCAGTGACTCTGTATTAGGGGTGTAGTGGTGTCTGTATCAGTGACTCTGTATTAGGGGGGTAGTGGTGCCTGTATCAGTGACTCTGTATTAGGGGTGTAGTGGTGTCTGTATCAGTGACTCTGTATTAGGGGTGTAGTGGTGTCTGTATCAGTGACTCTGTATTATGGGTGTAGTGGTGTCTGTATCAGTGGTGTAGTGGTGTCTGTATCAGTATTAGTGGTGTAGTGGTGTCTGTATATCAGTGGTGTCTGTATATCAGTGGTGTAGTGGTGTCTGTATCAGTATTAGGGGTGTAGTGGTGTCTGTATCAGTATTAGTGGTGTAGTGGTGTCTGTATTAGGGGTGTAGTGGTGTCTGTATCAGTATCAGTGGTGTAGTGGTGTCTGTATCAGTATTAGGGGTGTAGTGGTGTCTGTATCAGTATTAGGGGTGTAGTGGTGTCTGTATCAGTATTAGGGGTGTAGTGGTGTCTGTATCAGTATCAGTGGTGTAGTGGTGTCTGTATCAGTATTAGGGGTGTAGTGGTGTCTGTATCAGTATCAGTGGTGTAGTGGTGTCTGTATCAGTATTAGGGGTGTAGTGGTGTCTGTATCAGTATCAGTGGTGTAGTGGTGTCTGTATCAGTATTAGTGGTGTAGTGGTGTCTGTATCAGTATTAGTGGTGTAGTGGTGTCTGTATCAGTATCAGTGGTGTAGTGGTGTCTGTATCAGTATTAGGGGTGTAGTGGTGTCTGTATTAGGGGTCTGTATCAGTGGTGTCTGTATCAGTATCAGTGGTGTAGTGGTGTCTGTATCAGTATTAGGGGTGTAGTGGTGTCTCTATCAGTATCAGTGGTGTAGTGGTGTCTGTATCAGTATCAGTGGTGTAGTGGTGTCTGTATCAGTATTAGGGGTGTAGTGGTGTCTGTATCAGTATTAGGGGTGTAGTGGTGTCTGTATCAGTATCAGTGGTGTAGTGGTGTCTATCAGTATTAGGGGTGTAGTGGTGTCTGTATCAGTATCAGTGGTGTAGTGGTGTCTGTATCAGTATCAGTGGTGTCTGTATCAGTGGTGTAGTGGTGTCTGTATCAGTATTAGGGGTGTAGTGGTGTCTGTATCAGTATTAGGGGTGTAGTGGTGTCTGTATCAGTATCAGTGGTGTAGTGGTGTCTGTATCAGTATTAGGGGTGTAGTGGTGTCTGTATCAGTATCAGTGGTGTAGTGGTGTCTGTATCAGTATTAGGGGTGTAGTGGTGTCTCTATCAGTATCAGTGGTGTAGTGGTGTCTGTATCAGTATCAGGGGTGTAGTGGTGTCTGTATCAGTATTAGGGGTGTAGTGGTGTCTGTATCAGTATTAGGGGTGTAGTGGTGTCTGTATCAGTATCAGTGGTGTAGTGGTGTCTGTATCGGTATTAGAGGGGTGTAGTGGTGTCTGTATCAGTATCAGTGGTGTAGTGGTGTCTGTATCGGTATCAGTGGTGTCTGTATCAGTGGTGTAGTGGTGTCTGTATCAGTGTGGGGGTGTAGTGGTGTCTGTATCAGTATCAGTGGTGTAGTGGTGTCTGTATCAGTATTAGGGGTGTAGTGGTGTCTGTATCAGTATCAGTGGTGTAGTGGTGTCTGTATCAGTATTAGGGGTGTAGTGGTGTCTGTATCAGTATTAGGGGTGTAGTGGTGTCTGTATCAGTATTAGGGGTGTAGTGGTGTCTGTATCAGTATCAGTGGTGTAGTGGTGTCTGTATCAGTATTAGGGGTGTAGTGGTGTCTGTATCAGTATTAGTGGTGTAGTGGTGTCTGTATCAGTATTAGGGGTGTAGTGGTGTCTGTATCAGTATCAGTGGTGTAGTGGTGTCTGTATCAGTATTAGTGGTGTAGTGGTGTCTGTATCAGTATTAGGGGTGTAGTGGTGTCTGTATCAGTATCAGTGGTGTAGTGGTGTCTGTATCAGTATTAGGGGTGTAGTGGTGTCTGTATCAGTATCAGTGGTGTAGTGGTGTCTGTATCAGTATTAGGGGTGTAGTGGTGTCTGTATCAGTATCAGTGGTGTAGTGGTGTCTGTATCAGTATTAGGGGTGTAGTGGTGTCTCTATCATTATCAGTGGTGTAGTGGTGTCTGTATCAGTATCAGTGGTGTAGTGGTGTCTGTATCAGTATTAGGGGTGTAGTGGTGTCTGTATCAGTATTAGGGGTGTAGTGGTGTCTGTATCAGTATCAGTGGTGTAGTGGTGTCTGTATCAGTATTAGGGGTGTAGTGGTGTCTGTATCAGTATCAGTGGTGTAGTGGTGTCTGTATCAGTATCAGTGGTGTAGTGGTGTCTGTATGGTATTAGGGGTGCAGTGGTGTCTGTATCAGTATCAGTGGTGTAGTGGTGTCTGTATCAGTATTAGAGTTGTAGGGTGTGCAGTGGTGTCTGTATCATTATTAGGGGTGTAGTGGTGTCTGTATCAGTATTAGGGGTGTAGTGGTGTCTGTATCAGTATCAGTGGTGTAGTGGTGTCTGTATCAGTATTAGGGGTGTAGTGGTGTCTGTATCAGTATCAGTGGTGTAGTGGTGTCTGTATCAGTATTAGGGGTGTAGTGGTGTCTCTATCAGTATCAGTGGTGTAGTGGTGTCTGTATCAGTATCAGTGGTGTAGTGGTGTCTGTATCAGTATTAGGGGTGTAGTGGTGTCTGTATCAGTGACTCTGTATTAGGGGTGTAGTGGTGTCTGTATCAGTGACTCTGTATTAGGGGTGTAGTGGTGTCTGTATCAGTGACTCTGTATTAGGGGTGTAGTGGTGTCTGTATCAGTGACTCTGTATTAGGGGTGTAGTGGTGTCTGTATATCAGTGGTGTCTGTATATCAGTGGTGTCTGTATATCAGTGGTGTAGTGGTGTCTGTATATCAGTGGTGTAGTGGTGTCTGTATATCAGTATTAGGGGTGTAGTGGTGTCTGTATATCAGTATTAGGGGTGTCTGTATCAGTATTAGGGGTGTAGTGGTGTCTGTATCAGTATTAGGGGTGTAGTGGTGTCTGTGTCAGTATCAGTGGTGTCAGTATCAGTGGTGTCTGTATCAGGTGTCTGTTCCTGCAGGTAGGAGAGGATTACCTGGGTGGTGCTCACAGGTCCCGTCACTCCGTGTCTCCTGGATCAGCCGATCTCTCTCCCCACAGCCCTCCGCCGCCTGGCCGACATCTTCCCCTCTGGTGAGCATTGCTGGCTGCACGGGGGAGCACAGACACACAGATAACATGTCCCGCTAGTAACCAGTGATAACAGCAATAACACACTGATTGTATTTACCGCAGTCCGTGATAGTAGATCTGCTTCTGGATACGGATCTCTGGTCACCATGGAAACCAACGAACGCTATTCCAGGAGCCAGCAACTTCCAGCCAATCAGCAACGCGCTCTCTGTAACTTCGGCGACGTCACTACGGCAAGTGCACGCTCAGCGCTGGGCTCCAACAAGATGGCTCCCAGTGTTGGGAATGGAGCTCAGAGAATGGGACTCTGCTGGTCATTAACCTCATGGCTTCACTTCCTTGTTACTGTTATAAACTCTAATAAAGTATGCAAAGCTTGCAGAACTGCTGACTGAACAGCTTGTTGTTTCCCAGTGATTACCTGTGTCAAAGCAGCAAAAGGAAATGCAGTCCACACAAGCCAAAGTGTAAAAAATTAAAGGAATATTATAGTCAGCAGAACAACTACCACTTAATGTAGTTGTTCTGGTGTTTAAAGCCTGTCTTTGCAGGCATTTTAATGTAAGCACTTTCTTTTCATAGAAAAGGCAGTGTTTACATAGCTGCCTAGGAATACCTCTTGTGACAGTCACTCAGACGGCCACTAGAGATGCTTCCTGGTCACTGTGCAGCGCTGACGTTAAAGGACCACTATAGTGCCAGGAAAACATACTCGTTTTCCTGGCACTATAGTGCCCTGAGGGTGCCCCCACCCTCAGGGACCCCCTCCCGCCCGGCTCTGGAAAGGGGAAAGGGCTTAAAACTTACCTTTTTCCAGCGCTGGGCGGAGAGCTCTCCTCCTCTGATCCTCCTCTTCTCCTCCCCGTCTGCTGAATGCGCACGCGCGGCAAGAGCTGCGTGCGCATTCAGCCGGTCACATAGGAAAGCATTCATAATGCTTTCCTATGGACGCTGGCGTGCTCTCACTGTGAAAATCACAGTGAGAAGCACGCAAGCGCCTCTGGTGGCTGTCAATGAGACATTAAGCTGAAGTGGTCTGGGTGCCTAGAGTGGTCCTTTAAGCGTCCCTACACTCTGAATGGAGATGCTGAATAATCCTCATAGAAATGTATTTGTAGCAGAATGGATCCCCTAATACACTTTTATTCCTTGTTGTTCAGCTGTCTTTACACCCCCCATTTGTTTGCCAAACCAACTCTCTGTGGTCCCCTTGTTCGCACCTCCTAATCACTGACCATCCCTGGCTGTTAACCACAAATTGATTATTAGTGCAAGTGTTTTCCTGTGTGGATGCCGTTCGTATAACTAAACACACGTGCTCTAAGGATTGGCGCCCATTTTGTCTCCCGTACGCAGGCAGCGGTACATGGTCGTTGACGGCCATGTACTATATCTCAGATACGCGACCCCGCGAACACCCGGGAAACTTGTACCGCTGCCCATCCAACTTCCCGAACAGTTATGAGAAGAGCGTTCTGGAGGCATGAACAGGGCTGCCATCAGAAATTTTGGGGCCCCTCACACAACTCAAGGTCTGTGCCCCCAGAGGCCCTCCCTGAGTCTTCCCACAGGGCGTTCCCCGATTCCGTCAACAAGGATGAAGTGTGCATGTGTACTGAATGTGGTGTGTGTGTATAGTGGATGTAGAATGTGTGCAGTGGATGCGGTATGTATAGTGGATGCAGACTGTACATTTTGTGTAATGTATGTAATGCTTGTATGCATTAGATGCAGAGTGTCTATTTGTGTAGTAAATGTAGGTGTGTATAGTGAATGCAGAGTGTGTTTATATAGTGGATGTAGTGTGTGGATAGTGAATGCAGAGTGTGTGTTTATATAATGACAGCATAGTTTGTGTTTTTGTAGTGGATGTAGTGTGTGCATAGTGACTGCAGAGTGTGTATAGTGAATGTAGTGTGTGTGTGTAGTGAATGCAGAGTGTGTATCGTGAATGTATAGTGACTGCAGAGTGTGTATAGTGAATGTAATGTGTGTGTGTGTGTGTGTGTGTGTGTAGTTATGCAGATCATGTATAGTGAATGTAGAGTGTGTTTGTATGGTGGATGTATTGAGTGTATAGTGAATGTAGAGTGTTTGTAGTGAATGTAGTGCTTGTGTATTGAGTGCAGAGTGTGTATAATAAATGTAGTGTGTTTGTAGCGAATGCAGAGTGTGTGTAGTAAATGTAGTCTGTTTGTAGTAAATGCAGGGTGTGTTTAGTGAATGTAGATTGTAGTGAGTGCAGAGTGTGTTTAGTGAATGTAGTGTGTTTGTAGTGAGTGCAGAATGTGTATAGTGAATATATAGTGTATGTAGTGAGTGTATAGTGAATGCAGAGTGTGTATACTGAATGTAGTGTGTATGTAGTGAGTGCAGTGTGTGTGTGTAGTGAACATAGTGTGATTGAAGTGAGTGCTTCTGTGTGTGTGTAAAATTGGGGTGTAAAACATTTTTTAGAATTTATTTCTGTATATTTTTGCCCTTTTATCCCCCCCCACCTGCTTCTTACCTTGCCAGGGAGAGAGATGATCGCATTGTGGAGGGAGCCAGCAGCTGCACACTGCAGAGGGTTGTCATGCCCTGATGGCAGCCCTGGGCATGAACTACCGAATAGGGGGAGCATTTGCTCCCTAACAGCCAGGGGAAACATTTTTCAGTGCTCGTGTGAGAACCCCCGAAAGATGACCAGTTGTTGCCTTGTTTTCTATTGAACCGTTTTGGGGCATTACCTCGTGGCCGACTGGTCAAAACTGCAGTCAAATGGCATTCCCGAACCACCAAAGCGATCTGAGAGCTAGTTCAACAAAGTGGGTGGTCAGACCCAGGGTTTTTGGTGGTATAGCTTTTGTGGGGTTCCTATGTTATTATAATGTAATTTTAGGGAGAGATCATTGAATTACATTTTGCTATTTCATGACGAAAAGTCATGATTTTATGAAAGACACTGAGGCGAGTATTGCTTAACCCTTTCTTTACTGTCCACCAATAGCAGCAAAGAATACAAACAGTAAGAAAAAATGGTAACCGTAGTGATAAGCCACTCCCATACCAAGTTCCAGTATAATAGTCAGCACTTCCCCACATATTTTCTCTTTCTTTGGAGATGCGACACAATAACAAAATAAACAGGAACAGATGAATCAGTCCAACCAACACAGAACAACTTTCCCGAAATCCAGCCGGACTCCAATCAGGAACCATAAACGAACTGGGACCAATCTATTAAAGAATAGAAAGGCCAACAGTGAGGAGCCCATCACAGAACAATACATTGACATCCAGCCAACGAATTGAAGCCTTGTGGGAAGTAGTGAGGACCCCCTCAGAACAGAACAGAATCAACCTGTGAAAAAATAAAAACAGGAGCCGAACGGTTAAATCAGTACTTGAACCAAAGTGTGCATGCCAAAACACTTCATATTGATAACTGAAGAACACAGTGCCCATATTGCAAGAAAAAACCCACCAGACAAAACATACAACATAGTCAGGTCACATGAGCATAAACGGTAAAATAAATAGAATACCGAACAGATGGATGTTCGGTTCCCAAACAGGGGGATTCGGCGGAAAGACAGGAACAAATGGAGTTCCAGAGACAGCTACAATTTACGCTGTCTTTTTATGGAGACAATCCACCAGCGGAGATTATTTCCAGGACAATGACGGAGGTCCAGGAGTTTATACTTAGGCAAGGGATAGCAACAGCCCCAGAACGCAGCACTGCAGTAACCATGGTACAAGAGGGTAAGCCAAAAATACCGTACCAAGCATTCAAAATGTATGTAGAGGCAGAGGAAGACATAGATGCATTCCTTCAGGATTTTGAAAGACAGTGTGCCTTGCATAGGATCAGTGCAGAAGACTGGGTTCCCATTTTGGCTGGGCGTTTAACTGGGAGAGCAGCAGAAGCTTATCGTACTGTATCAGACGAGGAAATCCGGGATTACAGTAGAGTGAAAGAAATTATACTGGCCCGGTATGCCATAACACCAGAGGCATACTGGAGGCTGTTCAGGGACTTAAAGAAAGCCGGGAAAGACTCGCATGCTGAGTGGGCTTGCAGATTACAGCGGGTGGCCCTCGGATGGGTGCAAGCTAGCAAAGCACGGCCCATGGAGGACGTAATACAAATGTTACTGATGGAACAATTTTATGATGGGGTATCGACCGATGTCCAAGAATGGGTAAGGAACCGTAACCCTACATCTCTCACAGAGGCTGCTAGGAAAGCAGACGACTACCTGGATGCATGCAGGCAACAGAAACCAGTAGTCCCAAAGACCACATTAAAAACCTTTGGGGGACAAATTACCCCACAGTTCCACCACAACAACTACCACCACCACCACCTGCAGCACAACCACGATTCCGCCAGCCTAGCTCTGTGCAATGTCACCACTGCCAGAAATGGGGGCATTATAAACGAGAATGCCCACAACTCCGGGATCGATCCACCTGGATCCGACCAGGACCACCACCGCCACCGAGAGCAGCCGCAGCCCACTATTGCCAGGACGTAATCCCAACACCATATGGTTCAGCAGTTCCCATTACCACCGTGGAACAGTGGGAAGTATTACACGAGGCAGACCCTGTACAGGCCAACGCGGATAACCGCCAGCATCACAGACAGACCGTATACCTAGAGGGTAAAGCTGTGCAAGGGCTCCGCGACTCAGGAGCCACTATAACTTTGGTCAAAAGCCACCTGGTCTCGGATAAAGCTAAGACCAGCAAGACCGTAGCCGTTAGGGCAGCCAGGGGAGCAGTATACCGGCTACCTACAGCAAGGGTTCACCTACATTGGGGAGCGGGGTCAGGAGAGGTGGAGGTGGGGTTGATGCCACAATTGCCAGCAGAAGTTTTGCTGGGCAACTATTTGGGAAGGCTCACGTCCGCTTTTGAGCCCCAGACCCCAATCACAGGAGAAGCCCATCCTATGGTCACCAGACAACAGGCCCGCACCCAGGTCCAACACACACTGCCGAAGGTTCAGGTAAGAGATCCTTCCCCTTCAGTAGATTGTGTCCCCTGGGCCCCTCCTAACGAATTTGCAGCAGAGGTGATAACTGATCCCACGTTACAAGTATATAGGGACAAGGTCTGGGGCGAGAGGTTTATCTGGGATAAGCAGCTTTTATACAGGGAGTCTGAAAAGCAGATAGCCGGGTCAGACCCGATAGTTATGAGGCAGTTAGTGGTACCACAGCGGTACCGAGCGGAGTTAGTCCGTATAGCGCACGATATTCCACTATCCGGACACTTAGGGGTCAGTCGGACCAGGTACAGACTGACCCAAAGTTTCTTTTGGCCAGGGATCAGCCAGGAAGTGCGCCGATATTGCAGCACTTGCGATACGTGCCAGAAGGTAGGAAAAAGGGGTGACCGGCACAAGGCCAAGCTACACCCCTACCCATAATTGAGGAGCCGTTTAGCAGAGTAGCGGTGGATTTAATAGGACCCCTCCAGAAAGCTAGCCCTTCAGGAAAGAAATATATCCTGACTGTTGTGGACTATGCCACTAGATATCGAAAGGCGGTGGCTCTGACTAATATTCACGCTGAAACGGTAGTTGAGGCCCTCATGCAGATCTTCTCCAGGATGGGATTACCCAAGGAGATCATCTCGGATCAGGGTACTCAATTCACCGCGGAAGTCACCCAACGCCTCTGGAAGTTCTGTGACATTAAGCCTATCATTAGTGCCCCTTACCACCCCCAGACTAATGAGCTCTGCGAACGATTCAACGGTAAATTGAAACAAATGCTCCGAACCTTCGCAGAGACCCACAAGGACTGGGAGAGATTCCTGCCCCACCTCCTCTTTGCTTA